ATCTAGTAATAAAGAATACAAGAAATTAGTTCAGTCACAAGTTAATATTAATCTCCTTAAAATATGGTTAGGTCGTCAGCAACTACAGTATATATGCTTACCTCGGCTTCCTCAATGTACTGTAGAATTGGCCACGCAACAGCACACGCATCAAGAAATGTTTTCATACTTGGAGCTAAATAACCAAGAAACTGTATTCCTTCAGTTACTAATGTGACAACCTATATATTGGTATAAATACAGTTTAATTATTATTGAAATAGTTTATAAATACCACGACGATTTGACTAATATCAAGTGTAGGATGTAGTCCTGTTGTTTGCAGCCATATTCCTGCAAGAAAACCGAGTGCTGTTGTCCAATAAGTGAAAATCGAGAGTATTCCGACATAACAACCATACATAAATCCTTTGCGAAGTGCATATTTTGTGTTATTTTTCAATTTTGAGGCGTATCTAATGTATAGAAATGTTGAAATTAAAACAATGAATTATTGAGTTTGGCACCGTCATTAATTTTAATCAATATAGACATTTTAAGAAGATTACATTCTTTTATAAAAGACTTTTCATGAAATAAGAAGTTATGGTCTCTAACTAATTTGACTATAAGACGACAATAAGGGCAAAGCATGACGTTAAATGTAATCAGATATCTATTTACTATCCAGATCTAAAATATGTTATATGTCTTTCTATTAGATAGATCCATCATTATAGTACTCATTAAGAATTTTTTCATAAATCTGGTTCTTATCGGTAATACGACTACTTTCTACAATAGTAATAAATACAATCATTTACCGTATTTGTTCACTATTTTGTGCATTAAATGCAGTAACAGTACGAAAAGTCGTAAGTACTTCTTCAGCGACTTGTCCTGCATGTCCATAGGATTTCATTTCTGAAATAGTTGTTTGAGCCGTCAACTAAAAAATATAAAATCAAAAACAAGAATTAATATAACTACTCATTATTATAATGAATTTACCTTCGATAACATAAATGCAGCACCTACGCTCAATGGTTCCGAAGCTATGACGATTAAAGTAAGTGTCCAATCTGTAATAAATGCAAGAATAAGACCGGCAACAACAAAAATTGCACCAGACAACACTGCTGAGCTTGTCCAACCAATACCAGATTGAACTATAGCAAGATTACTGTAAATAAAACAAACGAAATTTAATTTGGTGAATATGTAAGAATAATCTTATTAAACAATATTTTAACTATCTACTATCAATTTTCTTAACCATTTGTATATAGAATGTAGAGATATAGATTTTACTAATGCAATCATTTCTTTGATGATGGATTCTAAGAAAAACCTATGCCATTTAATTGTGTGTCTAGTTAATTTCTTGTTGCAAAACCGATCAGTAATCAAATGATAAAGACTTACTCGAATAGATTATTGATTGATATTTTTGTAGTATCGAAATATGATACATTCTAAAGAATAAAAAAAATCATGGACATACATAAAAAGAAGAACGAATAGCAATTTATGTTTTATGTGATTGTACTAAATACAAAATTGATAATTGAACGTTTTATTCCAAAACATTTTTTTTTGTAAATATCTTATTCTAGAAAAAACCTCTTCGAAGATGATACATCATTTTAATTATATAGTATATTGAGATGTATGAATAATCATTAGTCTTAAGAATTACATACCCTAGAAAGAGTTGCTTTGAAAAGATCAATTCGTATTCGATTTGTCAATCGAGTTGAGGCTAATTCGAAGAAGATATATTGAAAATAACAGACCACCAATTGAATTAAACCAACCACTAGAGAAAAAAAATGTTATAATATTGATCAAGATAAAATAAAGCTACCTACCGACAAGTAGAATCACTTTTGCGTGAACATCATTATGAAACGAATCGGTACTATCTTGGCTATTAGCTGTATTTGTATTCGTTTGATTACCAGCTGAACAAAGACTGAAAAGAGAAAATACATAAACATTACCAAAAAAAACCAAATTAGTTAAAGAGATATGTTTTCTATTTCAGAATTTATTAGAAATTTTAAAATACTACTATTCAAGTATATAGATAGTAGTTATTTAAATCAGAAAGAAAACGTTAAAAAAATACCTGGTGTTCGATATGGTGCTATTAAATCCTGTAGTATTCGATATGCACAAAGTTAAATTCTGGTTGTTGCATTGAAGATTTGTCATGCGTGAGACGAATAAACTGACTACTTGTCCGAACAGTAGAACAAAAAACATATGACCAATAGCATAAATAGCAGCTGCAAGAACACCCAAAATAATCATTACATAATCCCCAATATTTCCAAAAGACAACTAAAAAAAAATACAAATTTTAAATTCATTTTCATATATAAATTCAGACATCAAATAGTATTACATGTAGATAAAAATATGCAAAATACTAAGGGATCTATTTAATCTAGAATACCTTTTAGATGAAAGATATCATTTTCTAAATATCTCAAAGGGTATTATTGATCGTTACTAATCATCGATGGTTATAATTTTAGTATTTAAAAGAACTTAAATGCTAATTTATGACAATGTGATGTATGTTATAGACATTAGAATTTCATTCTTTTACTTACCAAATGTTTAACGACAACAAATGATCCATGATGATTTAGCTCGTTTTCATCGGGTACTGTTGTACCATTTATCTTTATTGTCTCACTAGTTCTGAAACATCTACACAATCTAAATATAAATACCAAAAAAAGAATTAAATATTTATAATCTATATATATCATCATGAAATTCCTCACCGAGCTATTGATCTTAATATCATTTTGTCTATGCTTGTGAAAACAATGTCTAGAAATAAAACATAAGTAAAAATTATGACTTAATATCCAACTAGATTAAAATAATTGAGTTGCATATTATTCTATCTAAATAAGGATTTATTTAATCTTTTATATAGTCATTTAATTAGTTCTCGAAATTCAAAATATTTTATTTAAACAAACTCTATCGTATTTACTTGTAGAAAATTATAGTAAAATAAACTTTGGTAATGAGTTTTTTCTAAGTATTCATTTTTTTGTATTTTTGATTATTATACATCTAATTAAAATGCATCGAAATAACTATTTTTTTCATTCTTGTACTTTAACATAGAACATCTACTTTTTCTCCTGGTAAAAAATGAATACGAGTGGAATTTTTAAGTCGTTTCTTATCCATAGAGATTATGAAGGTAAAATTTTTTGTCTGTTTTGAGCAGTTGATAATAATGTATTGAGAAAGATAATTTTACTAGACCGAAGATTCTATATGTACTTATTAGTATATCAATTTCTGTTTAAAGACAATACTTAGTAGTGAATCTCGGATTTTTATAATGGGATGCAACCGCACCTAACGCACCCCTTTCAAGTCCGCCGCTAACAACACTCTTCATTACCTTCTTTTGAATTCTGAAGTGCAAAATAACAACTCACTTTGTTTGTTTGTTCGACTACTTCTGAATAAGTTATTGAGAAAAATGGTAAAAACATCTTTTGCTCGTTGAAGATGTGATCATATATTTGAGTCACTGGAAGCCGTTGGAATTCGAAAAATATATAAGATAAATCAGTTTTGCTTGTGTTAAGAGAGTGTTGATCAATCAATAAGAAGTCATATAATAACACTTTGTTTTTCTAACATGAAGAAAAAAAAACTTTTAATGATTAAAGAAAAATTTGTCCTTGTATCACTTTTTTCATTACTTGTTTCTCAATATGTTAACATCTGATTTCGATCAACAAGCGAAGAAGCAAATAAATTTTCGATAAGTTAACATGTAAATGCCAAATAATAAAATCAACAAAAATAACATTAATGTTATTTTATGATGTACCGACGAAGCACAATACTTAATAAATTTCTACTGTCTACATACAAAAAGATATTCCAAATTTAAAAAAATGCGGATCAATCAATAAACACGAGACATCAAATTATGAATCGATTCTAATCTAATAGGATTTATCGATTGAAATAAATCATTTGAGATATAAATTTAATTCATGCAAGAAAAAACATGTTTAATAATATTCTTCAAAAATTTTAATTATTTCTCATTCATAAATATATCTTGTATTCTCATAGCATTGATTATTATTCAAACCATGACTTTCTACCTACGTATATAAGAAAAAGGTATAGATGAAAGTCTATAAATATACTTTAATAGTTATTTTTTGTTTACTTTTTTTTCGATTATTTTTATTTTTAAACCTTGATTATTATTTCGAAATCATCTATTGTAATTTTTAATTCCGAATGTTGCATAATATTTGTTTAGAAAGATTATTTATATCAATCAGAAATGATTATATACAATCGCTGTATAAAAGATCATTCAAAGTATTCTATTTTTTAGGTTATATATATAAATAACTAAAACGATGCTGTAGGAAGAATCGAAATATACTAATTTTCATTGTTTTAAACATTTTTACAAGACAAAATATTTTAATTTATTCCCAGGTTTTAGCTAATACTGATGCGCCCAAGTTAAGTTTACAGGCTTCAATAAAAATTTGCTTTAATTTTTTCAAAATATAGGAAAAAGATGTAAGTTTCATTATAGATTGTACAATCCGCTTTTGAATAAATCCAGACAGAAAATTGTATTCGAATATCTTTTGTTATTGCGTATCATCTTTGAAATATTCGTTCACGTGATTAAGTTTATGTACTTGAAGAAGAACGTATACTAGAAACTAATACACATACAAAAAAAGTACAACAATATACTTTTGCATAGATGAAGAGAAATATTACTCATCAAAAATAAAATAATTAATTTAATATTTCCATTTTTGAGCAAAGTTATTGACGTAGAAGTGAAAACGTGATAGAAAAATTATGTACAACTTTTAAGTATACTAAATATACTATGAACGAAGTATATAAGTTTAGTCCTACTTATTTCAATTACACAAAAAATACAAGTGATGACGAAATATTGTTTTAAAAGTCTGTATCGGTTACTGTAATGATTAAAAGCAAACAATTTTTTACATCGACAATATTTTGTTATTATGATGATCTTCAGTTTCAACAAAAGAAATATAAAAATTAAAATTGTGATTCTAAAATAGAACAATTCATTTACTTTGATATGACGTCTTTATTAAATGTTATATAGCCAGAAGTTTTTTTCCATTCTGTTGTTCTTTTAAGTGGTTATGACGATTCGATGATGGATATGATGACGGGATTAATAGGCAGCGTGGCCGAGCGGTCTAAGGCGCCGGTTTAAGGCACCGGTCCGAAAGGGCGTGAGTTCGAATCTCACCGCTGTCACTACTTTTTTGTCATATTAAAGTCGAAATTATTATCCAATATTTTTAAAACATCATTTGTAATAGAAATATGAAAATTTAGGTTAGTATTTTTTTTTTGCAGTATTCATATTGTACTTCCATCAAATAATTCTCTTAGTTGATCAAAAGAAAGAAAATATATTGTTATTGATCGTTTTAAAAGATCATGCCGAATATGATAAGAACTATATTTTTTCTTGAGAAGTGTGAGTGGAGATGAAAAGGAAATAAAACTCATATTCACATCTTTACCCATCTCTCATGATATGTACAAATCAAACAACACATATTTTTATCTTTTGTATTCTCCTTCTGCTTTCATAAATCATAACTTGAAAGTAGTATTAAACCGCAGAGATTAAAAATTGTATCATTCCCTATCACTGTTTTTACACACAAATTATCATACACATCTTTCATTAATATATCGACCTGGTTCGTCAGTAGGTAACTAGCATCTATTTTTCCAGTGCATGAAAACGTTTACTTGTTGTTACTAATGCATCCATTGTTGCTTGATAATGGGGATATCAAATAGCATACTTAAGTGCTAGCAGTGGCATTTGAACAAGTAATCAGGAAGCCTGTTGTCTCAGACGTATACCTTGATGATATATTTGAAATATTTTGCGTACAATTGTATCTGAAAAACTAAACCGATAATCAATGAATTAAGAGTTCGTTTATCATTCTATGTTCTCATATTAAATTATATAAAATTTAATGCTCTTTCTAATCAAAAAAAAATTGAACTTATAATATTTTTTAAAATTCATACATTTTAACTAAATACTGATCCAAAAGAGATAGACTTAAAATCTGAATAAAAAAGAAATCACCTTGCTTTTCTCCATAGAATTATTAATGATAATCTATTGTACCAAAGCAATATTTACATCTGTCTAATTAGTTAGATCGTAAATCTTCACTAGCATCTTCTCTTTCTTTTGTGAAAACTTTTGTATTTATTCTCAAAATAATTCAAGTTTTAATACAGTATAAAATTTTTTATAATAATATTTAAAAAAAGCTTTGTTTTCGAATTCTAAAAACAAAATATCGAAATTAAAAATACAGAAAATGAACTGCTGACAATAAATATTTTATTATTCTGCATTTTTAAAATCATCTAATCTTTCTTTTCTTAAAATATGGCGAAAAAACACGAGTAACAAGCACGATGATTACCTTAACATACAGAATGAAAAATGTTGTTATTGTATATACACGCACATGGTCGTTCGTTTCAACATAGTTAATATATTCTATGTGTCAGGAAGAAATTGCATAATATTAAGAAAGTTTCGAACTATATACATTTTGCAAAAAAGTAACCTTCATATCCAATAAAATGACTGCATCTTTTCAAACACTACCAGTTGAACTTTTTTATCGTATTCTCGATAAACTTGATATATTAACAATTATTATATCCTGTCGTAACGTTTGCGCAAGACTCAATGCAATAACAGACAGCTACGATCGATACCAGGTAAAGTTTAGTCTTACGAGCAAAACAAATCTTGATCGTCTTTTCAATAACGTAATTTTATGAATATTATCTTTATCCTACGGTAGTACATAATATAGTCACAATACTTATGGATTTTCTATCTTGAAATCGAATTAGATATATAATAAAATAAAACTTTGAGATCTTAGTAATTTGTAGAACTATAAAATAATAAGAAAAATGAATGAATTTCAGACATGTACTGAATTGAATCTGTCTCGCAAAGTGGCAAATAACAAGACAGTGGTGGCAATCGTCAATGCATTAATATATAGTACAGTAAGATGAATCATGACTTATTTGTCATATTATATATCTATTATTTCTATTCAATATAGAAAATAAAGACTCTAGATTTTCATGGTAATCATATCGGTTATCATGAAGCGTATCACTTGGCCAATGCATTAAAAAATGATAAGGTAGCACTTACAACATTAAATCTTAGTAATAATTCTATCGGCTATCAAGGAATATATTATCTTACCCAAATATTGGAAAGCAATACTGTAAGAAAAAGTTTTAACTCATCAATTATAAATTTATTATTACTATAAAACATAGACACTTAAAAATCTAAGACTAAATCGCAGTTCGATTGGTGTTGCAGGAGCACATTTTCTGGCTAATGCATTGAAAAAGAACACCGTAAGAAAAACGTTTACTTCTTTCGTCTTTTATACACTTTATTATTATTATTGTTTCATATAGAATCTAACAGTTATAGAAATTCAACAAAATAAAATTGACAATGATGGAACAAACTATTTAGCTAATATGCTGAAATATAATAAGGTAAACTATTTTCTTAAATCATGTATCATATATAAATCATTATCTTGTAATACAGACACTTACTACATTAGATTTAGCGCAAAATCATATAACCGATGAAGGAGCAAAATATTTAGCTATTGCATTGCGTGATAATTCAGTTAGATGATTTCTCGATTTATTTATTTCTCTTTATATCTTGCTATTTAGACACTCAAAACTTTGAATCTTAGTAATAATCGTATCCCAGCCAACGGTATACATTCTCTTGGTAATACATTAGAAATTAACACAGTAAGACAAGTTTACTAATTATTTATATCATATCATTATTCATATAGTCATTGACAACACTCCACTTTCGTTGTAATCGTATTGATCATGAAGGTGCACAATATCTGGCTAATGCATTATGTACTAACAAAGTAAGGCAACGTTTTTTTTACTAAAACCCATTATTTATGTATCATAATCATTCAATAAAGACACTTACAACGTTAGATCTCACTAATAACAACATCGATAACGAAGGAGCAACATATCTAGCTAATGCATTAGAAAATAATACAGTGAGATTATCTTGTATAATAGTCTATAAAATATCCACTATTATCATTTTATGTAGACACTCTTAATACTATGTCTTCAAAGTAATCCAATTGACCATGACGGCACCCAATATTTAGCTAATATATTTAAAAATAATGCACGAAAAATATTGTATTAATAAACAGTAATAAATATTCTATCTGATGTTTCCCCTGAATTTTTGATATAATTTATTAGTTTCAAGTATGATAATTCGATGATTTTGTTAACCACATCATACTAACATCCAAACCCTCTGATGTTGCTTTCTTATACTTTTTTGATGCACAGCAAGTAAAGAAAAGCAGAAATATAATGTATTTTATATTCGCCACGAGTTTGAGTAAAAGAATAAAGAAAAAGTAAATATGTCTACCTGGCCGCTTTCTCCTTCTCGTCTACCATTTCATTTAAGTATGTGTTTTTAAAGAAAAATATGATGCACTTTTTGTTGATAAGAGAACAGCAGTGGGTTTTTTCTATTTATTGATGTATTTAATCATCACAGAAAACCTCAATACGACATTATTTTTTTGTTTTGTAACAACCGAAAACAATTCCGCCATTGATTTTTGACCACCACTGCAATCAATAACAACCGAAACGATAGTTATAATGGTAAATATACTCTATATCCATGGGATCTGATCACTCCCAATGTCTATTGTTATCTATGTAGAGTTTTGATACTGACGAAAGTGATTATGATAATTTTGACGATGACAATAGTTCTATCAAAAAACCTCCGCGTAAGTTATCCTTCATTTGACACCATAGAAAAAAACGACTCACTCAATAATCTATCGTTTACAGTTCCTGACAACTGCCAAGATGAAGTTCAAGGTATTGACGATATATCTGCATGTTTTATGAATCGTTACAATGCTTGTCCAGTATTTTATCGAGATTCTCTTGACAACGCTTGTCAAGAAGCATTCAAATCGACAATCATCAAAGAAGTTTGCTAACCTTTGCTTGATTAACATACGGAACACTGAAAAACTATTTTCTTCTAGCGTCGTCCAGTACTTCTCTATATACATCATGATCGGAGTACCTACACGAATGTCTTTTGTTCAAATATTTTTTGTTCAGAGACTTTGATCGAATATTTACTTGACAATTATATTGTTTGGCCATGGGATATAACATATGAGTCAAACAGAAACAAGTAAATCAGTTCTTCATTGTGCTATAATAAACTAGGGTCCTGCGGGAACGATTTTTTTTCATTCCCATTCCCGAAAGAAAATTTTATTGTTCCCGTTTCCCGTTCCCGTTCCCGTAAAAATATTTTTGTTCTCGTTCCCGTAGTCCCGTTCCCGTAAGCAACAATGAAAAAATATCATCTTTGTACACTAGCTTCTTGCGACAACTTACAGTGTTCATTAAAGTAAATATGATATGAAAGTAAAGCTAAATTTATGATTGAAACGTCGATTGGCTAAAAATTCTCTATGTGAAAGCTAATTATGCAGACATATATAGATGTATAGGAATCAAGATAAGATAATTTACGGGAACATGAACTTTTGATATCGTTCCCGTTCCCGTGTTCCCGTTCATGAAGTTATCACGGGAATTCCCGTTCCCGTTTCCGCGGGAAAACGGGACGGGAAAATGCGGGAAAAAATCGTTCACGCAGGACCCTATAATAAACACAAAAATATTTACATTGAGATTAAATCTTTAAATTTTATTTTTAAAGATTGATACAAATCTGGGAAAAATTGTCACCTGCTAAACCTTTGGAGAATTACTCTCTGGAACAATATCCATTGCTTATTGGTATAATGCGAAAATCTTCAAAAGAAAGTCCGTGGTTATCTTCATCTGAATATGAATGGAAACTATTGCTCACACGTGACAGATTAACGCGCACTCAAGAGGCAGTTACCCGTGAAACATTAAAACAAGAATTAGAGACCTTTAACAAAGAATGTCATGATCACGAAGAAACTTTGGTAAATTGTTTTTTCCTATTGTGTCTCTAATTGATTTTATTTTAGTCATTCGACTTCAGTGCTCGTAGTGGTCTTTGTTCAAAAGTCATGCTTGAAATAGTTCAATACCTTTCATTAAATGATATGGTAAATGCATTTTCTAGTAGCATTCTCCCATTATTATATGAACATGAAACAAAAGTACATATATCTCAAACGAGCACAGCCTTTTTCAATATGGTTCTTTGGAAAATCAGACCTGAACAGATTGTTTCTTTACGTCTTAATCCTAGTCCATTATTTCCAGAGATTCCTTCATTTATGTTAAATAGCTTCAGCAACCTTATCTCACTCACTCTTGTCAATCCAATGCATGTTGGGGAAATTAACAAATATGCTTTTTATTTTCCAAAATTAATCTGCCTTTCATTGTACTATGACAATGAAGCTGATTTCTTAGAAATAAGAAGTATTTTATCACAAATTCGCGAGCCCATCAAACGATTCGAAATCCATTGTGCTGGAGCATTCTGTACGCATTATAACGGATATGAACTGTATCAAAGTAGTTTACAGGATTGGAATGTTGAATATTTTCTCATTGAAATAGGCCCGCTTCTTTTGCCTTCAATGAGCCAGTGTATTCAAGGATGTAAATCATGTTTTCTGGCTACAATATTAAAATTCATTAATACCATGGTCAATGTTCGACATGTTCGTCTTATTACCGATAAGTGTAATCTTGATCAATTTTTAGATTGGAATGAATGGAAAAATTCGACGAGCAACTGTAAAAAATTAAAGACGATAACAGTGGAAACATGGACACATACTTCGTCGGGAGAACGATATGTAGAGAAGGCAATGGAATTCTACACATGCCCTCAAAATCATCAAACAATTACCGATTAATCACTGATTTTTGTGATGAATCTTGATTATTTAATCGATTCTTCTAATAAACCTGATTTTCCTCTATTATACTATTTGTTTTATTTTAATTTTAATTTATTATTTAACATAAAAAACATTATAGGATAGAAATAATAGTCGAAAAAGGTAAAAATAAAATAAAAAAAAAGTATTTGGAATCGAATCAAATTTTTTTAGTTCAATTGTTTTCTTTTGCAAATTAGAATAATTGCCTCAGTTAACATTTTCTAAAACACACATTCTCACGATGGTGTGTCATTATATAATTATTATTGTTCACAACGACTGATAAACAATTTTCATCATATACTATGAAGTTATTCGTTAGTATGCATACTCCTAATGGAAGTTACATAAATGTCTTATAAGTTAACTTCAATTGTTTTTTAATGGACAGTGTTGCTCTGGCAGATGAGTGTTACCACTAATCGTCATCGCAACATGTATTTGATCAGTAAATTTTTTTTTTTCTAAAAGATGACAAAATCCATTATTTATTTTATATATCCCAAAAAAAAAGAACTTCGATTAGTATTAAGATTCAAAAAAAATGACGTATATATCAAGATTAATGTTATAGAAATTATTTTAAGATTGTTGACCACTTTTTGCATCACATGCAACAATTTTAATTTTAGCGCCCGTACTTGTTTGTGGAGTTGCAGTTCCTGTATTATGTTGACCTGGAGTACTTTCTTTAATAGAATAGTCTTGTAGAATCAGTGTCCAAACATTGTCACAAAAACGATACGTGTTTAATTTTCCAGAAAAATGAACTTTTTTATGAATTCGTTTATCAAGTGCTTCATTAATTGATCGATCAAATTCACTTAAAACTTTACTAGCTGCTTGTTCAGTTAATTGATTTCGCGAAATCATTTCATCAAGTGTTTCTTGTAATGTAGTACCCAATGTTGTCCCACGATAAAATTGATAGTTGGCCATTCTCTTGGTAAGTTGTAATAAGCAAATTTTCTAGATGACATGCTGTCTACGACATCTACTATGTCTTTAAAAATATGATGTTGAAAGAACACAAGAGAAAGAAGAATGTGTAAGAACACAACATTTGTCGTGCTCCACGAACCATCGAGAAAAGTTGCTTATTACAAACTTACCAAGAGGTAAATGATCTTTATTGATCAAAAATACATGTTGCGATGACGAAATTGTGCGGATTAGTGGTAACACTGATCTGCCAGAGCAACACTTTTCTTTAAAAACAAAATAAAAAAAGATAATCTATATCATATATATATATAACCGTCATTGAAATTATACACACTACTAAATAGTATCACGAAAGGGTGTGGCTATCTCTTCTTCAATAACACTCACATGCAATGGCACACCCTCATCAACTATTTGTAGATATATTTGTTTAAACAATGTGATGTAGAAATAATAATTCTATTGAAGTTTATCAAAAACAAAATGTTTATGCACTGTTAATTTATTGATTTATCGTTGATTCAATAGAAAAATCGACGGAGAATTTGTTGGCATTTAACAAGAAAAACATCATATCCAAAACTGACCATTGTTTTTATCATCGAGAATTAGACGATTTACTTATTTGTCATAAATATCAAATAACTTAGAGTATTAAAATTATATAAAGGATGACGATGTTCATCTACATAAAATACTTTATAATCATCTATTATTTGTTTAAAAATAGATTAATTCTATTCTATCTTCTAACTTGATCTTACAAATTTCGACTTCACAAAGAAAAAGAAACAATTCAGATACATATATATTGACAAGATTTTTATTTGAGAGAATTTAACTACCAACAATAAACAATTTTATTGAGACATTAATTTTATTCTAATGAGAGATTAATATAATGAATTGTGATATTTATACGACATATTCACAAAATGCTATATCACCTTCACACCAGCCTACACCAAAACCGTAAGCACGACAACATTTTGGAACATGACCACCTCTTATACATGTATTATCACAAGCACCATAATGTTTACATATAACGATTTGAACAACTAAAATATAAATAAAGTTATTGTTAGTATTCATGATTTTTAATATTAAATACTTACTGATAGCTAATAAAACTATGAAGAATAAGAGGCGATTCATGATAATATTTCTTTTATGAAATGAACAATTAATTGTATGCTAAACGATTTGTGTATGGTGGTGAATAGCTAAACAAAAAGAATTCAGTACATAATAGATAATCAAAATATAATGAACATACCTTCGAACTTATGTTTAATGTCATATGAATCGTCGCCTTTTATACATAAACTGAAACAAAGAAAAGATATCTAAACGAATGTAATGTTTTCGTATAGATAAAGTGTCATCTATGTATATCGCTTAGAAGAAATAGACTAAAAACGATATCTGGATGAATGAATATTCTCCTTTTGTATAAATAAAATAGACCACCTATGTATATCGCTTAGAACGAATGACCTAGATAAATAAAACGAAAAAGAAAGAATTAAATAGTTCAAACCAGACTAATAATAGCTTTTATTATACTATTATATACTTTGAAATAAAATAAGAATTTGTATAAAATGTAACTGTAGAATATAATTATATAATTGATCATTCATAACAAGATATTTCTAATACTATTCAATTCTTTTAAATAATTTCTAAACATAATTTTGTCGATTTATGAATGGAAATTAAGATTTAATATAGAAAAATATTCAACGAATATCCACATTTATTCAGAAAATATATATTAGACTTTTGTATATGAGATATACATCTATTTTAATGATTTCAACATAGAAACGAATAGTTGTTTTCTGATTAGAAGTATTTATTCTATTGTAAGATATTTCTTGTTTTGATTTATAATGATCGAAATTGCACAAGTCGAATGTGATTAAACTGAGCGGAATATATTCAGTTCAAACCAAAGCAAGTTTTTTTTTGAATTCCATAATACTGATTTATTTAACAACGAAATTACAATTTTTATATCATATTTCATAAAGAAAAAAACAATGCACAACACATAGAAATATCCATGTATCTTTATGATTGATGACACTTCATTTAGTATCGTATTATGCAGTTAGCTTAAGTTAATATTATAATATCAAAACTTCATTAAATTTCTATATCATACAAAAACAGTTTATTTTGACCTGAAATTGCGAGCTTTTGAAAATATAGGATGTTTCTTTTATAGATGTTAATGTAGTTCAAGATTTGAATAACTCTCGTTGCATATACGTTCATTTATATAAGACGTTAGTAAAATGAAGAAAAGATGGTTAGTTCATGTTTATATATAATTGTAGTTTTAACTTCATTATATTTGTATTTTGGTTGTGTTTTTGGTTGATAATGATCGAAAATTTCCCGTTATTATTAAAATATAAGTTTTCGTTACATTTACTCTACATATATTTTCTCTATTTAAATTTGCATTAAAATCTCATGTCTTCATTATTATTTCTCATATATTATTTTTTGATTTATTTTAATTTAATTTTTAATTGTTATTATTGACGATTTTATTATTTAAAATAAAAAACATTATACGCTAGAAAAACTAGTGTAGTAGTTTTGTATAATTTTATGAGAAAACAGTCCAAGAAGGTAGAAACAAAATAAAAAAATTCAAAATACAGAAGAAATTTTTAATTTTACATTAATTGAAAATTGATGGCATTATTTAAAGTAAAATCTACAACGAAAAACAATCCTAAACGAGCTATCTTATATTTCGAAAAAGAAAGTATTTGGAATCGAATCAAATTTTTTTAGTTGAATTGTTTTCTCTTGAAAATTAGAATAATTGCCTCAGTTAACATTTTCTAACACACACATCCTCACGATGGTGTGTCATTATATAATTATTATTGTTCACAAAGACTGATAAACAATTCTCATCACATACTATGACGTTATTCGTTAGTATGCATGCTCCTAATGGAAGCTATGTAAGTATCTTATCAGTTATTTCTTATTGTTTTTGAAGAACAGTGTTGCTCTGGCAGATGAGTGTTACAACTAATTCGCACTATTTCGTCATCGCAGCATTTATCTGATCGGATGGGATCTTTTTTGTTTCTTGAAATTTTTTTAGTTTATTTCCTTATATTTTTCTCCATACTGTTCAACAATGACAAAAAAAAAGAGATATTAGTCATTTATTTTTTTAATAAAAATCGTTTGAACAAAAGAAAAACAAACCGTCATGTGAGAAAAAGAAGGATGATGACAGCTAGAAAACAATGTTAATTAAGTTGCTTTTATTTAGTATTTTTCTTCTCGGAGACCATCTTTAAAGTAGATGAAGATAGGTGTTGAACCATCTTCACGATAATATTGAAGAACAACCATACCATCAGAATCCATTTTTTCACCAAGATAAAAGGTATATTCGTCGAATTTTGATAAAATTTCTTTGGCCACTTTGGTCATACCTGCTTGAAAAGGTTGTACACGATCTGGTGCATTTTCTTCAAGATATTGTTTAAGTTTTTTTGAATATAGTCTTAACCAATCTTTGAAACTTGCGCTATCGAATGGTGTTTCTACTAATTTATGAGTTAAAATGACATTAATACCAGTTAGTGTTGATGATGAAACACCACCTTCATCGGTAGCCGCTTCACTGTCTTCAGGGGCTTTATTACCACCGATAAATGAATCATCAATGTCGTTACTTTCTGAGATATTTTTGCCTTCAACTTCATAATAAACGTCGTCAATAAGTTTCATTGGATATGAATCGCTGCATAATTCATCACCGGTAAATATATCAAGAAAAATTTTCATGGTTGTTATTGATCTAGAAAAATAAAATTAACAAACAGCGCTTTTCTCGATAGTATCGAATGCACAATATATGTTGTGTCTTTACAAATTTTACTTTTTCTTGTATTTTTTTAATACAATACCTGTAAAGACACAGTAGATGCCGCACAACACACTATGAAGAAAAGTTACTTATTACAAACTTACCAAGAGGTAAATAATATCCACTGATTAAACATATGTTACGATGACGAAATTGTGCGGATTAGTGGTAACATTGATCTGCCAGAGCAACATTTTTATTTCAAAAACAAATATGAAAAATACGGCGTTTTTACGCGTAAAAATGTGCGCTTTTAACGCGACGAAAAAAAACATTTTTGAAAGCAAAATGATGGACACATCCTTTGTTGTTAGCAGCTCGACTTTTTCTACAAAAAAAGAATTTTTCTTCAAGCGTAAAAAGCGCACATTTTTACGCGCAGAAACGCCGTATTTTTCATTCTTTGTCTACTCGGGTACAGTTTCAGTGTATTTTTCATATATTTTTTCTTTGAAATAAAAATGTTGCTCCGACAGATCAATGTTATCACTAATTTGCATAATTTCGTCATCGAAACATGTATTTAATCGGAGGAGATCTTTATTTTTGATACCATATCCCAAATATACAAAAACAAAGAAATCACACAAAAAAAACTTATTTGGCAATACACAAAAAGTAACTTTTCTTTTGTAGACTAATAATATAGAGAATTATGAAGAAAGATATTTTATTCTTGATCTGCTTCGAGTTTGCCAATATCTTCAATAGTAATTTCTTGAATGTTACGATAGAAATACTTCTCAATGGATCTTAGGATACCATGTTCTTTTTCTGAGCCGATCAAACTAAACGCATAACCTATTTTACCAAATCGACCACAACGACCAATTCGATGAAGATATGTTTCATAGTCTGGTTCACCAGTGACAGTTGTAGGTACATCATAATGAATAACTAATGAGACATCTTCAATATCAATACCACGAGCTGTCATATTTGTTAATACTAGTACACGAAATTGGCCTTCACCAAATTTTCGAAGTATAGCTGCACGTTGTTCCATACCCAAATCTCCTGTTAATAATCCCACTGAATGATTTTGATTTGACATTTGAGTTGCTAATTCATCTGCTGTTCTTTTTGTTCGGCAAAAAACCATTGCTTGTCCAACCGTTAATTCAGTATAAATTTGTTCGATAGCTTGATATTTTTGTTGTAAATCATAACAACATATATAATATTGATATATATTATTCACTATTTGTTTTTCACGTTTTAATCTGAAAACAATTGGTGCTGGAACAAGTTCACGTGCAAAATTCATGACTTCATCTGAATACGTTGGCGAAAATAACATCAATTGACAATGGGACATATTAAGATTTTCAACAAGATTTTTACAACTTTTTTGAAAATCTCCAGTTGCTATCGTAATATCAGCATCATCAACAACAAATATATTTAATTGTTGTAAATCAATTATTCTCATTTTTCTACACCAATCTTCAACTGTTCCAGGTGTACCAACAACAATTGGTTCACGTAAAAGTTGACCACGGACACGTTCAGCTCTTTTTGATATTGCTTGATCACGTACAGCATATGCAATTTGAATATATGGTAAGAATTTAGCTAGATTCTCAATAACTGAACCGATGTGTAAAGCTAATTCAAATATTGGTGCAAGAATAAGGGCTTGCGGTGATTTTATAGATGGATCAATACGTGATATAGTTGCAATGGAAAGAGCAACTGTTTTGCCTGTACCAAATTGTGATTGTGCTATCATATTTTCTAAAAAAATAAAACTGTTGAGATAATCGAGTTTTCTAAACAAACTTCACGAACGTGGTGGAGTGCTCAGTAAGTGAGTTAAAGTAATTTCTTGAATTTTACTTGGAGCAAGAAAATTCATACTATGAATACCTAGAACAGAGTAAAAAACATAATGATTAAATGATTGTCTCAGTATTAACAAGAGAACATAGAGATTCATCAGAGTTAATAAGAATACAATATAAATTGCTGAATTTTACAACAATTTTTATTCAAAATCGAATGATTTAGATGTTTCAGATGCAGTATATGAACAGAAATCTTGCTTGTAAAATTACCTTTTAATAAATCAGGATTAAGATTAAGTTGTTCAAAACTTTTAGTCGAATATAATGGAGATAATGGATCACTGCGATCAATAACAACGTTAGTTGGATCTCGTAATGTTTTATTAATCATTTTTGAGATTAATGAACATTCAGCTAATGAAGCAGGTGTATCATTTTCTTCTTGTCTTGATGATGTAAATGTATATGAGGATAATGGTTGTTGAATTTCTGAATTATTTTTGGATTGATTAAAGTTAGGAGCTGAAGGATTTGTGGATAATGTATTATTAAAAGAAAATTCTGGAGGGTTTCCTGATACAGCACTGTTAAAAGAAAATCGTGGTCTATCTCCTGATACAGCATTGTTAAAAGAAAATCGTGGAGCATCTCCTGATACAGCATTGTTAAAAGAAAATCGTGGAGCATCTCCTGATACAGCACTATTAAAAGAAAATCGCGGAGCATCTCCTGATGGTTGAGTGGGAAAAGACATATTTGAACCATTTGTTGCTGCTGCTGCATTTTTAAATGAAAATGATGTTGTCGAACCAGATGGTTGTGTTGGTGCGAACGATGCACCAATTGGAGATCCTGTATTAGCCTAATGATTAAATGAAAAGCAATTTTATTACAAAGAAATATAATTAATCATAGCGGAAAGCATACTCCTGATGATCCCCCTGATATTCTCTGTGGAAAAGCAGCAGCTGATGCTTGTTGTTGATTTGAAGATGAACTATTTGGTTCTGCAGCATTTGCAAGTGAAGGTAATGCTGCTCCTGGTTTCGATCCTGTAAAAGAAAGTTGACCTGTTGGTGAAAATGATAAAGATAATCTTTATTTGCAAAAATAAAGTTAAAGTAAAAAATAAAGATACATTTTTTCATGCAATAAGTACATATGCAAATACCCTGTATAACAACAGAATACGTTTATTAATGCTCTCTCTTATCGTCATCATCATCACTTCCATATACCATATCATCAAAAACAAGGATCACATAAGAAACGATATATACGAAAAATGCTATTTCATATCATAGTTAACTTTATAATATCATAATTTTTTGTAAGTTACTCTAACAAAATAGAAAGAGTACGTTTCGATAGAAAAAAAATCTTTATTTTCTTTTTATTTTCTAAGATGAAAAAAAACTATTTATTTCTTTATCTATATTCTCTATAAAATAAACATAAAGTAACACCCCTATTGTTGATGCCATAGTTTCTGACTCTTGGTAAGTTGTAATAAGCAACTTTTCTCGATAGTATCCAATGCACGATCTATGTTGTGTCTTCACAAAGGGTGCGTGTGGGACTGCATACTGTATTCACCTAGCACCGATACTCACACCTACGCTATTCAAACGCTCAAGATGTAATAAAAACGTTTGCCAAATGATATTAACATCGTTCGTTAAGTAACTTAAGATGCATGATTTAACAACTGTCATCCTCCACTGAGATTCTGTATTGACTATCAGTCTAAAGTAGTCGATAGACGATTAAACCAAAGATTCTCGGTCTGTTTTTGATTTCGATGCGTGCCTACTTATCACTTTTGTTTCACATTTATAAGCGGTAATCATATGACACTCTTCTATTTCATCTCGCTTTGTTGTCTCAGATGTTTTTCATTACTTATGCAAGTCACGAACATGTACGATTTTAGAATAACTTTAGTTAAGTATCGAGCTAAATTGTTTTCATTTACCTGGTGAGCTTACAGAATTTAACATAAGCCCTAATAGTTGACGCTTCAATTCTTTGAATGTTGGTCGATCATTTGGTTCTTGTAACATACATTTTAAAATTAGTGACCACATTGCATCACTACATTTCGAAGGCTGTTTTAAACGTTCACCATTTCTAACTTTTCGAGAAACGTCATTATCATTTTCAATATTTGACCATGGCATTTCACCTTTTGTATAACCTTCCCACATCAACACACCCATTGAGAACATATCAGATTTTTCTGTATAAGAATTTCTATTATTACTATCACTGAGAACTTCAGGGGCAGCATAACGTATTGGAATTATAGTTAATGTTGTAGTCGATGATGATCCCACTGGAGCATACATTGAACTTCCTCGACTAAGGCCAAAATCTGTTAGTTTGACAAGGTTATGTTTCGGTTCGTTAGCATCGTATCGAAATACCAATACATTTCGACATGCTAAATCGCCATGTACAATTTGATTATGTGCTAAAAATACCATTGCATCAGATATTTGCACAAACATTTCACATAAGATATTTGATTCAGGTACAGATGTTTGATCTTGTAATAATTCGAATAAATTGCCCTCAGATGCAAATTCTTGCAATAGCATAATTGAGTTTAACGATGTGTCCACAGACTCATCGACAATTCCATATGTCTTTACAATATATGGATGTCGTGTCATAGCCTCATAAAATGATGCTTCTTTTAAAGCTTTGACACCATTTATTTTCATTAAACAAATGGGTGCGCCGTCTTTTCCAATCCATTCTGCTTCCCATACGGTTTTTCCATGCGCTTGAAATAGAGCTCGACGAGTTTTCTTTTTTATATGGACATCTAGTTTAAATTGAAAATTTTTTGATCGGAAATCTGCGACCATGTTTTTGACTATAATGTTAGGACGCAGTTGATCAATATTGAGTGGTTGTCGCGTAAGTGGGCTAGTCCCATGATTTTTTACCCATTTAACTATAGATTCCCTTTCATATGTGTGTCCATCTTCAGCCAAAACAGGGTCTTTGAAAATTTCACGTGTGATTGGACACAGAAGTGTAGATTCCATTGTTGCCTTTGATGATTCAGTCATTAACAGCAAACTGAAACAGCCATAAAATTATTTACCTTTTAGTGAACGTTTTTAATCCCTAACTAAGTTGAACATTAGTACTCTGAACTTAATCTAATCTTTGTCCAAGTCAACATTATAATTAGGCTAGTACGAATCTTATGCATATGAACATTGCAAGGCGAGTGTGTGTCAATTTCTCTGTTTCTGCTTAGAAGCAAAAGCCAACATGTCAACCCACTATGTACCTTCTCTAACCTTTGGTCTGATATCAAGAGATTGACACACGCTGAACATTATATATATATAGATTATTTTATTAAACATACGCTCAAGTCAAGCAGACATCATTGTAAACGACCGTATACCAATAAATCACGATAAAATACGACAGTCGTTTACAGTGTCTGTTTACAACAATCATATATGATCATACACGTCGAATTACGACTATAGTAAACAATCTCCGTAAAAACTTACCCTTTACAACCATTGTAACAAAACAACGATTGTAGACGATGCACGAACAATATCGTAAAGCATCACAAACGAAGGCTCCCACTATAGAAAAATCGAGCTTTATAACAGTTTTCACAAGTCAATCAAAGGTAGTATAATTTCTCATTGTAAGTTTCCGACAGTAATATCGCTCTTGGCTCTACAAACATATAGTTGGTCGGATGCTCGTCCGATTTTATCAGACAAATCACGAAACAACAGAATCATAACTAGAGCTTTTATTAGGTGCAAAAGTTTTAATTAACATCAGGATTTTTCTAAAATTTTTGTGTGAAGTATAAAGACGAACAAACTAATTTGTTGAGTTTTTTGACTGCACCGGTTTCTACTAATTTTCGTCAGTAAAACTAGATCTTCAGGTTAGATTTTGGTGTGGGTGTGGAATATGCGCGAGGGTATGCGTTTGAGTATGAGGTTTTACTTACATCAATTTGTACGTTTCTTTAAAGTAAAGTAATGTTATTGTTTGCGAAAAAGATAGAAGAAAATGGGAGTAGCGAACACGTATAAAGCATAAAAGGATGAATAAACTCTGAATGACCACGTGTGTTTTTACTGAAAGAACGACCGATTGCATCGAGATAAAAAAAACACAAAAAAAGGAAAAGAATCATCCACACAATATTCACGTTGTAGTTAAGATAAGGGTGAGGACGAGTTTATCAGAGAATTCTAACCAACTTATGACGCATTTCGGTGATTGTGACGACAGTCGTGGATGTGAAATGAAAAGAATACTCTCATCCACATTCATATCCACCGATACTCTCAAGTATGCACGTCAATCAGCTTTTTTCGTTCTCTCTGTGAATGATTCCTACGACACAAAAGACATACTGTTTCATGGTCAGAAAATAGAACAAAGGTTGATGTTGATGAGGATGTGGGTAATGAACGATAAGAAAACAAATACCCACATCCAACTTCGCTCCAGAATCTTTTTTAACCTGTGTCCTTATAATATTGAGTGACCTATCCGGAAAAGATAAAATTTTAGATTTTTTAGAAAAAAAACTTCTTTATTCTTTATTTTAACTTTATTTCTTAAAAATAAAGTAACTTTTTCTTTATCTTTATCCTAAAAAAAAGATTTACTTTATCCTTATTCCATAAAGAATAAAGATAAAGATAATCTTAATCTTTATTGATTATTTGTGTCTGTATCGGTTTTTATTTATTAGAGTTTTCATGAAGTGTACATTGGCATAATATTTGATAAATATGGAGTAACGAGTATAATTAATAGAAAATTTTACCATTCTTATGAAACATGAATCAGAGGCACCTGAATTCATATCTTTGAAAATTATAGAATTCATTCTTTTCTTTTGCACTTTGGTCTCAATATTTTAATTATGGAAAATGTAAGTAAAAAAACTAATGTACAATGGTGTCTACGATTATTCATATATAGATTACAAAATTACAGTTATCGTTGAATGTAAAAGGAATAGCATATAAGTTATCTCTTAATATATTCATCTCAAATCAATATTGTATTATGATTTAAATATACAATATCTTTTTCCAGCACATATATGTATGAAAAAACTAGTATTTTCTATATATAAAAAATTGATGAAATAAAAAATCATTTTTTTTTTCAAATAAATATTAAAAAAAAACATTGATTTGTTATTATATTTTAAACAATAGAAATTATATTATTTGAAGATTGCAAGTTGAGTTGCTTTCTAAATATTTTAAACTTTACAAATAATGGATGATGAATACTATAGAAAGTTTTAGCTGTATGATGATTAAATTATTTTCCATATGTGATATATTTATTGAAATCAATTATATCATATTTGTTAATTTTACCGGAAGATATAAAAATAAATTGAATTACTGAATGTATCTCTAGGATATAGAAGATAACTTCTACTATTTATTCGAATACAATAATTTATAGTTGATTGAGATTTTTATTAATAGATTTCTATGTCGATCTCATTTATGAGTTCTTAATGTATTCATTTAAAGAATATAACTATTCATGAATTTAGAAAATCTTCAATATTTACATTGAATAAAAAGATTTATTTCTGACAATTTTAATAGTATGTCTCATGGGACTATTTATATAGCTGTTCAGTCTGTTCTGATTAGTGTAGATCATTATAGAAGTAAATTTTGCCTTTCTTTTTTCCTCCTCTTTATAATACTAGAATCGAACGTTCATCAATTGTGACAAAGTAAAAAGGGAAAAGACTACTATCCAATTTTAGTCGTATTCTAAGAGTGAGAAAACGATCTATTTATGAAGTGGATCGTATCTTTAAGTGTTTTGATTAAATCGATTGAGTCGATCGTCATTTGGAGATATGTATTGAACAAATTGGTTTCGTTCACACATGTTAACATCGAACAATGACAGGAAATAGAGAGAGAGGAAAAAAAAAGTCCGAATGTAAATAGACGTATAATTAATTGTAAACAATATCTTGTAAACGAAGAAATTTTTTTCTGCTTCTCATAAATATAAATTCAAATCATTCTCTTCATATAGGATACATAGTAGAGATGGAAACTGTAAAACCACGTACATCTACTGATACTCAAGAATCAAAAACAGCTCGAGTACCTAATATTATAAATAATCGTTCATCATTTCATGAAACAGTAAGTAAAAAAATAAAAATTTTTTTTTTTTATTATGTATTATTTCATTTAGGTTATTCGTACTCAACAATTAATGCGTGTTCTTAAAACAATGCATACAATTGGTGAAATCAAACAAGAAGATGTATTAGGAAAAAATATAAATATGAAACAACATCATCGACGTTCTGCGACTTTATTAAAAAAAGTAACATCAGATAATTTCGAGAACTCTCTTGTTAATCATCAATGTGTTATAAGTTCACTTCTAGTTCTGACAAGATAGAAAAATAATAATCAAATAATATGTTATTATATAAAGACTATCTTTCTTTTCTTCTTTTTTATCTATTAATGAGAAAAAAGAGATAATACGCTTGACAAATCGAAGCTAAAGAACTATGTTTATCAATTTAACGGTGCTTTGAGTTGTCAAACACTCTTGAGATTTGTTCATGGAAAAGCAGAGAGAAAAAAAAAAGAAATGAGTTGATCATCAGATAAGACAAAGATTGTTTTGTAATGCGACGACCATCACGATTTTCTTCATTTGCTTCAGTTGAAACTCGACTTCATTTTCGAATTGATCGAGAACGTCTTTCTGTAATTAAAATATTTTTTGTTATCAAACTTCAAAAATACTTTTTTTTAGGCAGCATCAGAAGAAAGTAGTGAAACATCAAGCGTATCACCTGTCTTAGGTTCACAAAGAAATAATACAGCTGGTAGTTCACGTCGTATTGGCGAAAGATTTATTATTCTTCATTATTCACCATTCAAAGCAGTGTATATTTTATTTATTTGAATATTTATACATATATATTTCGATTATTTCCTTAGATGGGATTGGGTTGTTATTTTACTTGTTTTATATACTGGTATAATAACACCATATACAATATCATTTTTATCTGATGAAGATCAAAAACGAACAAATTTAAATGCTCAAGCAGCTACAAGACAATTCAATCGTGAAAGAACGAGTATTCATGCATTAATTCTTATTGATGTATTAGTTGATATGGTATTTATTTTAGATATTTTAATTAGTTTTCGGTAAAATATTCCTAATTTTTTTCCTATAAGATATGTATTGATTTGATTTTAGAACAACATTTGTATTAAAAGAAACCAATGAAGTAATAACAAGTCCAATATTAATTGCTAAACATTTTGTTATTGATAATTGGAGACGTTTTGGTGCGGATATACTTGGTGCTTTACCATGGGATATACTTTTCTATGGAAATGGAAGTCATTCGGTATACAAAATAAAAATAAAAATATGAATTTTACTATTTTCTTTCTTTTAAGACAATGCGTTTAGCAAATTGTTTTAAATTAGCACGTCTTTTACGACTTATTGAATTTATTGGAAATTTTCAAAATTCAGAATATTCATCAGCTGTTTTAGTTTTTCTTATGCTTCTCTTTGCTATTGCTGCACATTGGCTTGCATGTATATTTCATTTTATTGCTATTCTTGAAAGACCGAATTTATTAGTTAAATATTCATGGTTAGATCATCTTGCTGAAAAATATGAAATGCCTTATCGTATGTTAATTTTTCTCTAATAGAAGAAAAATATAATTTTTTTTTAGTTGCTAATGATACTTTAAGTGGACCCGACTTAAAATCAAAATATTTAACTGCACTTTTCTTTGCTATGACATCGTTAACATCAGTTGGTTTTGGAAATGTTGCAGCCGTAAATAATTAATTCTTTTTGTTTTATATGTTAATTTTAATTCTAATAGAATACAAATGGTGAAAAACTTTTTTCGATTTTATCAATGTTAGCTGGATGTAAGAGAATAGAAATATTAAATTTTCTATTTTTTGTTTTCTTCAAGCATTTTTAAGTGCATCAATTCTTGGAAGTGTAACAACAATTATTATTAAATTATATCAAGGTGCAGAAGAATTAAAAGAAATGAAACAAAGTATTGATGATTTTATAAAACATCATCGTATTAATAAACTACTTGCTAAACGAATGGAAGATTCATTTGAACATGAATGGAAAAATACAAAAGGGATTGATATGAATAGTATATTAAAAACATTTCCAGAATGTATTCAAGCGGATATATGTTTACATCTTAATCGAGAATTATTAAATAATTGTCCGGTTTTTGAAGATGCTGATGAAAGTAAAAAAATTTCTTTTATTTTCTTCATGAAGAAATATCTTTTTTTTTTCAAGTTTGTCTTCGAGCATTAGCTCTTCTGTTTAAATCAACTCATGTTCCACCAGGCGATACACTTATTCATCAAGGTAATTTATAGATAACCGAGAATTACAACCATACATTTAAATGTATTTCAATTAAAGGAGACGAAAAGATTTAGTCTTAAATCAGCTTTATTGAATTTTGATTCAATCAGAATCCATTAGGGAATGTCTTGTCATGGTATACATCTAATTAATGTCAATTTCGATTAGTCTCAATCTTGGATTTATTTGGAATTAATAAAAATAAATGTGGAAACGTCGGATTATATTCGAGAGTTATGTGTATATGGAAATCATAGGGAAATATCAGTATTTTTGCAATAATTCGAGAATGGCTCGATCGAGATCTTGATGAGACTGAATTGTGTAGAAAAGACGACTACAAATCTTTGGCCCAGGAATGAGAGATATGTAGGCTTGTAGAGAAAATTTTTCTCTATTGAATGGTATATATACTATCGAATTCTGTTGAGTACCGTAAAACTCGATTTTTGGCTTGAATTCAAACTAATTAGAGACCTGTATCGGAGTCAACTAGATCTCTAGCCTATAATTCATTTTTTTTTGACGTGAAGGTTTTATTCTCTAATGTTTTCTCTACAAACTGATGTATTTTGAGGATCCAATCGATGTTTTATTGAGGTTCACGGACACAAAAGGAGATAGAAAAAAAGTTTCTATATAAACCTACATATGTTTCATCCTTGGGTAAAATTTTACTATGAAATTTGTAGTCGTCTTTCATCAAAATCTACCTCCCCTTTCGAAAGTTATCGTGTAAACGGACACTGACCGATTCTAGTAGTGTACTCAAAAATATCTATTTTATTTGTAGGTGATGTTCTTCATTCAATTTATTTCGTTCGTGGTGGTCAAGTAGAAATCTTTCAAAATAATGAATTATTAGTTATTCTTGGTCGTAATGATACATTTGGTGAAAATCCATGTAACTCAACAACATTAGGAAAAGCTAGATGTGTTGTTCGAGGTATTTTGGAAAAAAAAAGAATTTATTTTATTTAATTTATATATATGTAAAGGTTTAACTTATTGTACATTGAATACAATTGATCGAGATGATTTACTCAATGTTTTTCAACTTCATCCTGATTTTGAAAAATCATTTGTTGAAAAATTTCATGTAACATTTGATCTTCAACATGTAAAATTCTCTTTTTTTTCAAAAGAAGTTTTAATCTTTTAGTTTTTGTTCTAGTGTGAATTCACTGAAACCAAACCATTTTATAAATTAGATGCTGATCTTCAAATGCTTATTAAAGAACGTAATCCAAAATTACAAAAAGAACGACGTTTAAGTGTATTAAGTGAACGAGAAGATGGTATAAATTTCTAAAAGATTAAAAATAAAAATAAATGTTTTGTTTTTTCAGAAGCAAATCGATTAGCTAATTTACGATCTTATCGTATGTGTCGAAGTACTGATATTGGTTTCCGACGATCGATGAATACTACGGTTGAATTATCAGCTGATCAAGCACAATTCAATTCTGATCATTTTCTTTTTAGTCGAGACAGACCTTTAACAACTTTATTAATACCTCCAAGTTAGTTAAATCTTATAAATAGAATTCATTTAATTATTTTGTGAAACACGAACTATAAGGAGTGTTGAAGTATTTAGGGGCAGAAATTTGGACCCACTACCCCCCCCCCCCACAGACGTGACCGACAGATGTTCTTTTGACCCCGTCATACATGTGACCGTTACAAACATGGATATTGAATTGCAGAACAAAATAATACTATTGAACTCATACTGTTTAGGAAAGATAGATGCGTGAGTAGGGTGTGGGTGTAAGTGTAGAAATAGGCGAGTGAAGAATGCAATATCTACACCCATACAACTGTTGAAATGCTAATCAAGCGAGTTCATCACATGTAAGTTTTTTCTTTCTGATATCTGTATACCTTAATGATACAGAATGGGGTAAAAGCCGCTTTATAATAATAGAATTAAACTATCTTTTTGAAGGTACACACGACAGTTAGATTGTGTTTCACATTTTAATCCCGCCAGGGATTGCGCTAACAGCTTTTCCTTTAGTGTTCTTTCCAGCGAGTATTGCAATACCAAGCGAATCTAAAACAACTACATTTATTCCTCAAGAAGATAAACCAAAGAAAATCATACCACGAAAAGAATCAAATTCGATTCAAGAACCAATGTAAGAAAAAATATTTCATTAAATTTAATTTTAATATTTTATTTTCTAATTTATAGTCCAGTAAAAAAATATGAGAATAGTTCAATACGAAATATGAAAGATGTTGATACTGAATTATCACATTTACAAATGTAAGATATCAGAATAAGATTTACATTTTATAATTATTTTAATGCGTTTTTTTAGACGTGTGGATAATTTTGAACGAGTTATAGAAAATCAAATGAAATTGTTATTTGATGTTGCGAATAATATTGTCGCAGCAAATATTCATCGACAAAATAATTTCAATCAATCAAATGAAACAATGGACACTCAAAATTGTCTTGTCATTAATAATTTGCTTTTTTCGAAAGGCAAATAAAAATAGAATAATGAATACACTCGTTTTCTTCTATGAATCTCGATAAAAAAAATAAAGAGTTTATAACTGTTCTTAGTCTTGCAAAGTCAAAGAATGATATTACATCAGTTCATATTTCTAATAATTGTAAAATGGTATTTGATTTTGCTTCTAGACGTATTCGATCTCTGCCCGATTCAGACAAATTGCAACCATACATATGAAATCGTTTCAACGATCGATTGTGTTTAACCATTGTTATGAGTGATTCTACAGATTTGTCGGTTACTGATTTATTGAAACAAAGATCTAATACTTGGAGATGACGATTATAATAAGCAAGTGTATTAGCTAATAATTCAATTCCTTGATCACCAATATCATTTGTATGTAATGCCAACCAGGTTAAATTTGTTGTTATTTTTAACAATTCAGCAAGATATTGTGCACCTGTATTAGTAATATTATTTTCATTAATATCGAGTCGTTGAAGAGTCGAATTTTTTGTTAAGAGTACATTACTCAAGGATTTTACACCTTTATCACCAATTGAATTCTTTTCTAAATTAAGTGTTTCTAATGTAGTATTATCTTTTAATCCATCAGCTATGATTGATGCTCCTTCAAATGAAATCTTGTTTTGATCCAATAATAATCGTTTACATTGTTTTTTATTCATTGCTTCGTCAACAACTATCTCCATATCTCGATCATTTAATCTTCGCGATCGTAAATCCACTGTCAAACGTAGTTGACACTTTTCAATAAAATCTTGTAGTTCGACATTTCGATATGGTACTAATCCTAAAATGATATATCATAAATGAATACACATTTCTTTTGCTAGAACTTAATCCATAAATATATGATTTATAGATAAATATCTTTTTAAAATGCAATGCTTTATGACAGTTTTGAGAAAAACTAGTTTCTACAATAGAACAAGATCGCTGAACATCATATTATTGACATTTTATAGAAATATTTCTTTAGATGTAGTACTTATCTATTAGCGATATTGTCATAGATAGAATTTTAGTTCAAAAGTTTGATTTTAGAAATAAAATGTATTTTCATTCGTCTATTCTTATCTTCTCGTTTACCTTTACTTTCATTGATTAATTGCTTGATTCGATCCTCGTATTCGTTACATTGTTCTTGAAGGCGTGCGATAGTTTTATTCGCTTCTACAGCTTCGATTTCCAATTTTTTTATTCGATCTTTGTATTGATCAACCTGTGTGGAAAGGTGCTCATTACGAGATATAATTTCGATAACTCGTGGTCGTCGAATCTTATATGCACATGTTTTCAAATGATCATTAAGTTCATCACGATATCCTGACCATGTACACTGGTTGGATACTGCTGGACATAATATAGGGGTCTTCGGACACTCTGCACGCATATGATATTTCAAGGCTTTGGTTTTGATCGTCGTGTTTCCACATTGTTTACATCCTGTGTCGTCCGGTTTCGCCTGTATGGAAATTTCCTCATCGCAAAATGTAATTTCTTCATCTGACGGTGGTCGAATCGTATATGCACATGTTTTCAAATGATCATTAAGTTCATCACGACATCCTGACCATGTACATTTATTGGACACTGCTTTACATAATATATGAGTCTTCGGACATTCTCCACGCATATGATATTCCAAGTCACTGGTTTTGATTGTCGTATTTCCACATTGTGTACATTGACTATACTCGGGTTTAACCTGTACGGAAAGTTGCTTCTTACGACATATATTTTCTTTAACTGGCGGTGGTCGAATTGTATATATACATGTTTTCAAATGATGATTAAGTTCATTACGACTTCCTGACCATTTACATTGATTGAATACTGCTGGACATAATATATAGGCCTTCGAACATTCCTTATCCATATGATACTTCAAATCTTTGGTTTTGATTTTCGTGTTTTTACACTGTTTACATCGACTGTACTCGGGTTTAATCTGCTGTTTGAATTTTTTTCTTTCAGCTTTTGGCAATTTTTGTAGACCTCCCAGAGTTATGGGCTCCTTGCATGATGGACACAAGTTATTATCTTTGTTAATCCACTTTTCTATGCACTCGACGCAAAAACTATGTTTGCAAGGTGTACATCTTGGATTTTCGATGAAACTCTTGCATATATTACATAGGGCTATAGTACCGATATATGTGTCATTTGTCAGTTCGTCACTTTCAGTATCGGACATTTTTTTAAATATAATCTAAAACGATAAAAATATTTTATATATGTAGACTATATACAATTGCTACTAAACGATGAAGAAAAGAATTTTTTATTTTAATCTTTTGAAGTTTCGACTGAAAAAAATAGAAAATGGTAAACAGGTACATTTATATCTATTGAAATGAAACGTTCTTAACAAAGATAAATGTTGTATTTCAAACAATAATAAGGCCGTGGTTTTGACGTTATCTTTTCATTACAGTTTGTAATAAACTATAAAATTGACACAAGATGAGTCATAAGTAGGAAACTACAGTATTTTCTCGATTTCTTACTCATACGTTGTTAGGCAGGACCAAAGGGAATACATCTGATTAGGAGTCCAGTAAGCACCCCTAATCACTCCTAAACAAATAATCAGTTGTTTCTCCCTTGATCTATTCACTGTGTAAACTATTTATACGCAATGATTACATATTACAAAATATTGGTCAGAATCCACTAATCATGTAGACAAATCTACTGGAGCTCATATATATCAGCTAACATTTTAACGCTTTAAAGAAACCGGTATCTTAGCATAGGTCTACATAAAAATATGGTAAACTTCCACTCCATCTATCTAGATTAACAAAACACTCGAAAAATAACCTAGTTGTATTTTGAAAAAACACCATCAGTAACATGAGCACTTCCAAAACGTTTATTCATGTATAAATACTTGTTATAACTATCTTAATTATGTACATTGATTAGAACCAAATACGATATTATATGGTAAAATTCTTTAATGTATACGCTTTTAGTTAATGTTTTTTCCTTCTTGATCACATGAAACCATTTGTAACTGGCTCAATGTTCCTTATCCTTTTTAAGGATTTTATTGCTTTTCCTACAAAATATAAAATGTCACTAAGCAACATACTTATGGCAATATAATCCTCTACTGTTACCTATCTTTTCTCCTCATATATTTCTTCTCGTTATCATGTTTTTAGTTTATAGATCGCCTATTTTTTATCTTGAATAATCAAACTCAGTATATAAAAGAAGTTTTTAATCTAATTTTTTTGAAGTACCGATATATTTGGTTATATGAAACGTGCTAAACAATGATAAGTTTTTTTATTTGAAACAAATAGAAACTAAGTGACCAATGAGGAAGTGAAAAAATAAAATCGGCATATCTGAGTATATCCATACCTACGGTTTTGATACAGTTTTTGATGATTTATTTTGATTGTGAGTAATTGTCATAAGTAGATTTAAACGAGGGAAATTTAGTGTATTTTTTAGAATAATTGCATTAATACTATAAAATATCATTCATTTCGATACAATACTGACATCAATCATTGTTTACTACCTTTTCTATTTTGCCACGTATGATAAAAGAAATGTTTACCATCAACAAAAATACATACATATTTATGATGAATGAATAAAAAAAGGTAAAATATGGAAAGTGTCGAAGCGAGAATAGTGAAGAGGAAAAATATCGAAAACTAAAATGATTAAATTAAGTAGAACAACAGTAGCCATATATTATAACAAATATTTAGATATAATGTCACTCCACAGACGAAAATAATTCTTCATTTCCTTTTTGATTTGATATTTTTAGCAGTAACATAAGATAATCTTTTCAAGATTTCATAATCATTAGGTGGAGCATTCACATGCCAGAATGTTAAGATATCTATTTTTGCAAGGCATTTGTGAAGTATATTATTTATGAATTTAGTAAAATAAAATTGAGTTTGTCTTGATATCTCTTACTATATGTATATTTGATAATACGATTGTTTATCTTCTTCTACTACATATAAAGAAAACAAAATCTACGACAAGAAATGAATGTTCTTTTTCACTCGTTCTCAGCAATTAAAAATATTTTCTTCAGTGGAGTTCTAATAATGACGCTCGTATGAATGTTTTTTTTTCTTTTTGCATTTATTTATTCATCACCTAATGACGTCATACAACGTGAATAAATCTTGAGAGTGAGGGTGTCTTTCTCTAATACACCTTTACCCTCACCCTTCTCTAATTTTTTTAGTCAGTTGTAGATAATATATCTACAGATATCGACTTAAATATTTCAGTCACTAGATTCAATAAAGAAGATGATAATTATACACATAACAACAAAGAATATTTTATTTAATATAGAATAAAAACTAAACTGCTGACATAAAACTAAGATAGTTCTTCAAGTCTTCTTTTTAATTAATGACGATTTTCATCTAAAACAACGCTTTATTCGTTCTTTCCAATATTGACGAACTTCAAGATTATAAATAAATAAATCCACAGTTTGAATAATAACAGTAAATGTAGGTGGAATTTGTAGTACATCATACACCCACGATGGTGTAAAGGGATCTTGAAGAAATGTAGCGATATAAGTTGGTGACCATCCAAATATAAATACAAAAAATAAGAAAAGTATATGTTTGAGTAGTTTTATATCTCGATGGTGTTGTTGATGAGTTGTATTCGTTCTCGGCGCGGTAGCTATTGTAGTCGCATGAACACGTCGACTAGATAATCGAGCAGAAACAATAATTATTCCATTAAAAATGGTAAAAAAATTACAGGAATTATGACTATAACTAATAAATAATAGAAGAAAATCCAACTGTACAATGTTATGCCATCAGAACATCCCTACAAATAACAGAGAAGAAATTTGTTTTTTTTATTTTACTGATTTTTACCTTTAAACAATCAAGTAAAATTGGTATTGATATAAGTGAACTAAATATCCATTGTGCAATAATTGATAAATACGTCCAAGTTTTACTTTTAAAGAATCGTTTCATAGGAAAACATATTGTAAAACATTGATTAATAACAATGACTACTAGAGAATGAACTACTAAACAATTCGTGAATTCTCCAGCAGTTAATGTAAGTGCACAGAAGATAGGAGTTTGAGAATATATGTTTAAATTCAATGCACCGGACGTTTTGTATAAAGCCCAGTACATAATACACATGAGACAAGCTAAGCAGAAATTTGCTATCAAAATATTATTTGCAGTACGAAAACGTTTGATAAAGATGATTGTTAGAAGATAAAGTAATGGCAATGGGATGGTAAGGCTGAAAACGATAGCTTGTATTGTATAAACAACGTATAGTATATCTACCATGTTGATGTAGTTTTTGGAATAAGTTTTAGACAAAATAATGATCTATATAAAAAAAAAAGTTTTGTTATCTAAACTTTTACATATTGTGTCAATGAAATAGAATGATATGATCTTTTACGTCTTTATGAATCTCACTTAAAGGACAATTTAATAAAAGCATTTTTTCTCGTTTATTCGAATATAATTAAAGGTAAAGTGAATCTTTATCTTTATTCTTTATTATAAAGTAGAATAAAAATAAATTAACATCCCTAATTTATTCATTTCTTCGTCTCAAGAATCGCATCACTTTGTATAGTAATGCGTCAGAAAAAAGGGAAAAAGAGATCATACCAAAGAACATAAAAAAGATAATGACCCATATTTACACATATTGCTTGTTGACCACATCACAGCTGAATTGTGCCCAAAAAACGATGATTCATGTGACTATTTCATTCTTATTAACAACTGTTCTATCATTATTCTGTTTCTAACTCTCTCTCTCCTTCTCAACTTAATTTATCTCTTTGGTGATGAACTGCTTAATTGGATAGCAATGGACAGTAAGATAGAAAAAGAGACAGAAAGGATCAGAATGATGTGGGTGTTCACTTTATCATCACTTATACCTACACCCTACAATACTGATATCGAACATTAATTATTACCTTTTCTGTTGTTGCTACGTATGAAGAAAAATGTTTATCGTCGACAAAAATACATCAATGTTTATAATGAATGAATAAAAAAAGATAAAATATGGAGAATGTCGAAGCAAGAATAATAATAATAATAACAGCCCATAGGCGTATCGCCCGTAGGGGCCGGTCGCGATTATTATTAAAGTTTTCCATATGCAGCCGGGTTTTTTCGTCTTTTTTTTACAGACGGCGGTATCTGCACCCTCTTCCGTCCAACATACTGACTAAAGCAGAACGAGTCATTTGAGACAACTTAGCCGTTAGTGACTTGTCCAGGGTCATTCCATGAATGATGTTACTGAGGTTTGAATACAGTACCTTGTGAATACGTGTCGAACAACGTAACCACTCAACCATGGTGGCTAAGCAAGAATTGTGAAGAGGAAAAATACCGAAAACTAAGATGTCTAAGTAAAAATTAATATCTCTGAATTTGTGATCAACTTTATTAATTATAACAAATATTTAAACTTAATATCATTTCATGAGCATATCAGGTGGAAGAAAATCAAGTTTATACTAACTATGAAATTTCTATTTAAGATATTAAAGTAGAAATTGATGATGTTATTAAATCGATTAGTGCTACTGTTTCTTTATGATACTTTTGAGAAATAGATGTACTTTTCTTTATATTATATATATATATCTTCACAGATTGAATATTCGAATTCGAATTTTTTTTATTTCAGATGGATGAGAATGTAGATAGTAAAAAATAGAAGGCAAAAATTGTATTTTATAACTATGTAAAAAACTGTGACAGGAAAATCAAATGAAAACTGATTGTAATCATTGGCATTTCATCGATTTTAGTTTAATTTTTATCCTATTTTTTAAATGAGAATATCGATGTATGATATACACCGATGTAAAAAAGCAAATAGAATAAAACGTTTATGCGATATCAGCTGCATCTTTTCTCGTAACCTTTATTTCTTCTATTTTATGAATGAAGGACATTAAATCAAAGTGATAAACACCTGTGATATCTCGTTCGTCAAATACATTTTAACTTATCTTATTCGCTTTTTCTCTTTCATAAAAAAAAATTATCATTTACATTCATCATGTCTTCATCTATTCAACGAGTACTTCAAATTCGAGATGAATCTATTCCTAAAGACAGTTTACTGAAAGATTCAAATATTAATTCATCTATTCTTGATGTCAGTAATATTCCACGTCAATGTGGCCTTTTATCAGATGATGAACTTAATATTACTGAAAATTATACAGCTACTCAACTTGTTGCTCTATTGGCTCAAGGTCAATTAACCTCTGAACAAGTTATTCGAGCTTATATTAAACGAGCTGGTATTACTCATCAATTGACTAATTGTGCTACTGAATTTCTTAGCAAAGAAGCAATTGACCGAGCTAAATATTTAGATGAAGAATTTAAACGACGTGGAGGACCTATCGGATGTCTGCATGGTTTACCAATTTCCACAAAAGACTTGGTAGCTATGAAAGGTCGAAGAACTAGTGCAGGATGGATTAAATGGCTCGATAGAATTGCAGAAGATGATGCTCTTATATTAAAAATTCTTTATGATGCAGGTGCCATTTTCTATGTACGTACGACTCAACCGCAAAGTCTAATGCATTTAGAATGTGATAGTCCTGTTTATGGTACTACTATCAATCCATTCAATCGAAATCTATCTAGTGGTGGAAGTTCGGGTGGCGAAGGTGCACTTATAGCCATGAAAGGTAGTCCAATAGGTATAGGAACTGATATTGGCGGGAGTATACGTGGTCCAGCTAATAATAATGGTATTTACGGATTTAAACCAACTAGTTTTCGATTACCATTGCAAGGAATAATAGCAGAACAAGCAGGAAGAGAAAGTATTATTGCTGCAATTGGTCCACTTGCTCGAGCAAGAGAAGATATTATTCTATTTGTAAAAACAATACTCGATACTGAACCATGGTTACGAGATCCATCACTTGTACCTATTCCTTGGCGATCAATTACATTAGATTCGAAAAATATAACGATAGCTGTTATGTGGGATGATAATGTTGTACATCCTCATCCACCTGTAACTCGTGCTCTTCGTGAAACGGTAGAACATTTGAAAAAATCTGGAATACGAATTATCGATTGGGAACCAATTGATCATCAGAAAAGTTGGGATATAATTAGTGCACTTTATTATTGTAATGGAGCTGAAGAAGAACGAAATGTAATGGCAGATGGAAATGAAAAGCCATTACCATTAACTGAATGGATTATTAATCAACCACATGTAAAAAAACGAACTTGGACAGAAATGAATAAATTAATTTCAGATAGAGAAATATATCGTACTCAATATGCGCAAATATGGAATGAACGAGAAACTGTATGTCATAGTTCTATCGATTGTCTTCTAGCACCAGGTGCTCCATCAGCAGCTTCTCAACATGGTACATCTAGATGGTGGGGTTATACGTCTGTATGGAATCTTCTTGATTATCCGGCTGTTATTTTTCCTGTAACAGTTGTTGACCCTGTAAAAGATCAGGTAGAAACTGATTATAAACCTAGAAATACACTTGATGCTGATAATTATAATTTGTATACATCTCCAACATCATATGCTAATGCTCCTATTGGATTACAATTGATTGGACGACGTTACAATGATGAAAAAGTAATGCAATGCCTCGAAATAATCGAACAAGCAATGGGTAGAAATTAGTCGAAACAAAGACATTGACTTTTTGTTTTTATTGATGATTCATTTAAAAAGTTTGTTTTAGCCTAGTAAGAAAAGAAATTAAATATATCTTTTAATTAAACATGAACTTAAACAGGAATCAATAAAAAACTAGATTTCCATGTTAAAGATACATTTGATTTATTGTTTTATATTACAAATTACTGCTTTAAGAGTAGTTGAATATATATTTACACCCTCCTTTTGTCAGAATCATCTTCTTCACATAAGAAGAAATATTGAAAAAAAATTCAAAAATTCAAAAAGGTTATATTATGCCACAGATCATATTTAGATCATTATTTGAAAAAGCATCAGCTTTAGTAACGTTATTCGTTTTCAACCAACAAGTACCATCATTATACAAATTCCATGAAAAATGAGTACATCCCGGAGTTTGAGTACATTTTTGAGAACACAATTCCGAAGTACTCTGGACATTGGAGAGATCGTTTCCAATAAAATCACAAGACATTGCCCAGTTATTTCCGTTCCATTGTACTTCAGAATTCGGCATTTGTAGCTGTCCATCATTGATTATACCACAAACTGTACTTGAATCATTAGTATTATATGCATCATTCTTAGAAACATTATTTGTTTTCATCCAACAAGTACCACCATTCAAATTGGTCCATGTATAATGAGTGCATCCTGGTGTTTCAGTGCATTTTAAATCACAATAATCCGATGAGATTAACACATTCGAAAGATCATTTCCATTGAAAGCACAAGATAAAGCCCAATTATTCCCATTCCACATAATAATAGTCGAATTTGAATCTTCTTGTTGACTACCGTTTACTATACCACAAATCATACTTGAATCATTAGTTAAGATTGCATCAGCTCTAGACATATTATTTTTTTTCATCCAACAACTACCTGTATTAAAAGTAGTCCAAGTGTAATGAGTACATCCCTGTGTCAGAAGACATTTTGCATTGCAAAACATTGATGGAATAAATACATAGGAAAGATCATTACCAGGAAAATCGCAAGATGTTGCCCAATTAGTTGCATTCCAATGGATCGTCGCAGGTATTACTTTTAAAAATAGAAAAAACAAATCATTGTTCTGTGTCTATCTATTAAGATATCAAAGAACATACCTGGTATTTTAGTAGTTCGCTTTGTTAATAGAACACTACAAAGAATAATTGTCAGGATGGTTATAATTGTCAATGTAATTATTGGAACAAGAAAACGCTTTCGAAAATACCATCGACGACTTGATAAACTAATCAGAAATATAATGAAAAAATACCGGAGCGAATAGAAATATTGTGACATGAAACTTACTCGAGTTCTGGATAAAGACATGCACCTGAAAATAGAAATATTTCAATTGAAAATAAACTGCTGAGTGTGTTTGACTTACCTTCGAATGGAGGTTCTAATAATAATTCGTTTGGCATCGTTTGTTTCAAATGAATGATATGTAGATCAGGTGCTGGATCTAATTTTGATTGTACTTCTAAATATGTTCCCGGTAATAATAGAATCTCTTCTTCATCATTAAACTGTGAATGAGCACGTATACTTCTACCATTTAATATTTCAATAGAAAATAGAGTTCTTTCTCCTGTTTGACCTAAATAGAGTTCATTTTCAAGCACGGTTAATGATGTAGTTGTCGATGAGAAAGACCACCATATCATTTGAGCTTCTTTAAGATCAACATTGACATATTTTCGTACGCCACGCCATACAGTTTGTGGTGGTATACATGGTAATTTAACGATAGCGGTGAGAAAAAGTTTGAGATATTTAAACCAGGGATATAGACATTGCCGATTACTATTTCTTAGTGCACGATTTAGATGAGAATACAAGCTTTCACTTGTACCTTTCCATTCCGTCGTGTAGAGACGGATCGAAGCTGATTCATCACGAGTTAAATCATCACTTGGCATATCTGGAGTATGTTCTAAAGCAATTGAAACATAGTGAAGTATATCAGGAATAATGGAAATTAACGGTACACATGCATCATGAAGCGGAAGAATTGGTTCTTGTGCATAACCAATGATAGGATCAAGTGAATTTAAATCATCTGTATCTTTAATTAATAGACGAGAATTTCTACGACGAATCATGAATTCACTATCATTTGTTGTTCTATCATAATTTCGACTAGTTGACCAAACATGAAGTTTATTCATTATTTTAAAAATAATTGTATTATCTAAAATAATAAAACATTAATTTCTATTCGTTTTACAAGAATAATATTTTTGATACATTAAAAATAGTCTTTTATTGTATTCTTAAATAATTTGAACATCATATTCATTTCGTTTTATTATACCTTTAATATTATTAATCCACAAGCAACAAACCAATGACGCGTATCACATAAATATTACTAATATTTTAAATAAGTAATGACGTATTTTTGTATACCGCTGCGTCATTTAAAGAACAACGAAATTACGAAACTAAAAAAAGAAGTATTCTGTAGTTTGATTTAAAAAGTACCTACTTGAGGAAAATCGTTTTTTATGTCGTACTGTCGATATTACTCTAGTTTAATGCTGTTATCATGAAATTAACTTGAAACTTTATACATTTATCTGTTATTATTGATTTCAACATAGATTTATATCATTTCATATAAGAATACGACGAAAAGAATATCTATAAACTTAAAACAGATTATTAAGAATAAAAAGAAAAAAAAACAAATCAATGAAGCGAGAACACATGAGTCAGGAAGACCAAAGCTACTCTGACGTATAACGAAGAATAAGGAGGCATGTAAAAATAAATCACACCTCTACTGCTATTATATATAACAGGATGCAAATAAACTGTCATTAATATTAATCGTTTGTAACGATTATGTAGAAATCACGTTTTTTTGTTCTAGAATATATAGACATATAAACTATATTACAAAAATATAATAATTTATTATTTTCAGTTGTTATATCAGTTTTTAGCGATTTTTTATATAGAAATTTGATTTATCCTTTGATATTCAACAGTTTTCATATTTTTTCAACATATTATTCAAGAATGTTTTAGATTGCAGTAATAGAGTTGTTAAAAATACATAAAAAAATGCATGATGAAGAATATTTTTTTTAAAGTATGATACGTTATCACTCTCAATAACAGATGAACTGCACTTAGTACTTTTACATTAATATTGATATATATAAAATATATTACAATTCTAGAATATTTGAAATAATTGTTGAGATGATATATTATCCATTGATGATTATATTACGATATATATATATATTTAATTACGAATTATTTAGTAATATTCTTTTATCAAAAAATTAAAATTATCTACTTATGATAATAATATTGATGAAAGAAAATATACGTATATTAATGGACACATAAAATGCTGATATTCACATTCATATATTGAAGATGATCGGTATTATTACTTGAATCATGTGTTAATTTCACATTTATGAGCAGATTTACATCATTTTAAGTACACGTGTATATGTAATACATAACGTTGTAACTTCATCTTTGACTATAATATACGTTTGTTGATCTTTTCTTTGTACGTAACATCATCCGATTGACAATGAAGAAAGATTAACATTCATTTCTTTTCATTTCTCACTTCAATTGAAGGTAATTACATACAATAGTGTAATATTTGATAGTATATTTAAGTAATATTATAGAACATCATACAAATATGGTATCAAATCTCGTATCTAGTCAATCATACATAACCCTCATTCGATATGTTATACAGAAAAGAAAGAGTTGACAAATATGCAAGAGAAAATAAATGATATGATTTATAAAGAAAAAAATATTATTTCTCATTCCTTTGTACAAATCTCATCATGTGTTTGACATCTACCTATTTGTGATTTTCTCTATAGCTGTTTAATATATTTTTAACTTATTGACTATATAATAATATCATTTCTATTAATAATTGACACCGATATATATATACAGTCTGAGGATTGATTCTTAAAAATGAAGAAAAAATAATACTTTCTGTTTGTATCGTTGTCAGAATTAATTTAAATGAATTATAGTTATATACCATTTCAATCTTAAGATTGATCGAATTAAAAGAAAGTAAGTTTATTTTTCAGACAAAATGCATAATAGGTAATCTCGATGATCGAGAATTCAAAACTAATGAAATATATTTAACATTTGTGTAATTTAATCATGAAGATATTAATATAATCTTTAGTTTTTTTTTCGAATGAATAGGAATATAAGAGAAATGCTTAACAATGATGAATACAAACCTCTGATTGTAAATAAACAAAATCGATATGATAACGATTGTAATAATAATAATCAACGATCACCATCTCGTCTTGAGTGGGCAGAAGCATCATGGAATCGACTATTCTATCTTCTAACATGGTGGTGGATAAATCCTATTATTTTACTCGGTTATAAACGACCATTGATTGATGAAGATCTTGATAGTTTACCTCATACTGATAAAGCTTTTACATTATTGAATAAATTAAGTAGATATAATTGGCAAGAATCAACAACTTTAAAAATAATCATTAAATCTTTTTGGAAACAATCTTTACTTATTGGACTTCTCCTTCTACCTCGAATGACAGTTCGAATCGGAAAATCATTAATTATACGTAATATCGTATTTTATATAAAAAATTATCAAATACTTTCATTATCAATTACTACTGGTTATTTATATGCAATAGCATTACTCATCTGTACACTTATTGAAGTATGTATTCTTCATTATTTTGTTTTTCAATCATCTCGTATTGGCTTGCAAATTCGTAATGTACTTACTTCAATTATTTATAAACATTCATTGTCAATCAATATCGTTTCATTTCAAAAGACAACTACTGCCAAAATAATCAATCTAATCGCTCATGATGCAGCTAAATTTGAACAATTAAACACATCTATTCATTATATTTGGGCAGCTCCCCTTGAAGCTCTTGTAGTATTCATTATTTTATGTTGGATTATTAAACCTTTATTTGTATTAATAGGATATTCCATATTAATTATACTTACATCTCTGCAGATATTCTTCAGTAGGAAATTTAGTCGATATTATTTATCAGCAGCAATCTTTACCGATCAACGTATACATGCATACAATGAACTTATTCAAGGATATCAAATTATTAAAATGTATAATTGGGAAAAATCAATGGAAGAACGTATACTTCAAATACGACAACGTGAATTTATTGATATTCAACATGCATTTCGTTTACGTGCATTAAATATTGGTTCATCTTTTCTAGCAACATCTCTTATGGCTCTTTCTACATTTGGTAGTATGTGGCTTTTTGATTATTCATTAGAAGCCGCTAATATTTTCACAGTACTTTCAATGTATAATCAAATACGTATGCCTGTTCTTCGATATTTACCGCCAGCTATTGAGAAGCTAAGTGAAGTTTGGATTGCATCGAAACGTATCGATGAATTTATGAATTTACCCATGGTACAAAATAAAACTTCACTCACTATGTTTTCCGGCGATATGTATAATGCAGAAAAAGGTAAAATTATCATGCATAATGCATCATTCTCATGGCAAGATTCTGACGTTTGTTTATCATCACTCAATATCGAAATAGAATCAGGTACATTTGTAGGAATTATAGGATCCGTTGGCTCTGGAAAATCATCGCTATTGTCAGCTATTCTTGGTGAGATGATTTTAAATCATGGTCAATTAAACATAAATAATAGTTCTTTTTCTCATGTTTCGCAATCTTCTTGGATTCTACCTGATACTCTTCGATCTAATATACTTTTTGGAAGACCATTTCATGAACAACGTTATTTAACTATAATTCGTGCATGTTGTCTAGATGTTGATATTGAAACTTTCGGACCTAGTGGTGATTTAACAGTCATTGATGAAAAAGGAATTAATTTGAGCGGAGGACAAAAGGCACGTATTTCACTGGCACGTGCTCTTTATACTGATGCTGACATTTATCTTCTTGATGATCCTTTAGCTTCTGTCGATCCTAAAGTTGCTAGACATATCTATGAACAGTGTGTTGGTCCGAATAGTTTGTTGAGTAAGAAAACTCGCCTACTGGTAACATATCAAATACAATTTTTATCTGAATCACATCTAATAATTGTTCTTGCTGATGGCCATATCCAAACACAAGGTCGCTTTGATCAATTATCTATTCAACATGAGAATATTGACCAGATAGAAACTACTAATTTCGATCAAGAGACAGTTTCAGACAGTAAACTTGATATTAGACATTCTACTATTGATACTCAATCAATTATATCCGATGAAAAATCGTTAAATGATGCTACAAGTTGGTCTACATGGTATTCTTTAATTGCAGGTTCACCTTTAAATTCGTTTAGATTATATTTTGTCATTATCTTTCTTATTGCTGGTGAAGTCTTCTATGATGTTAGTAATTATTGGCTTAGTCAATGGTCAAAACAATCTTATATAAATCAACAATATCAATTAATGAATGTTTACATTTATTTAGGTTTAAGTTTAATAACAGCTATTATCGCTTTAATACGTGTTCATTATTTTTTTAATCTCATTTTGAATGGTTCAAATCAATTGCATAATACGATGTTAACTGGATTACTTTATACATCAATACAATTTTATGAAAGTAATCCAAGTGGACGTATTCTAAATCGAGTAAGTAAAGATCAAAAAGTTATTGATGAACAATTAGGTATCATATTATTCGATGCAATACAATCATTATTGATGACCATCGGTTTGATCGTCATTATTGGTATTGTAAATTGGTGGGTTTTATTATTGCTTATTCCGTTAGTACCTATATTTTGGATTCTAAGTCATATTTATTTGAAAACAAGTCGTCAATTGAAACGATTGGAAAGTATAACACGAAGTCCTATTTATACTCATTTCTCATCATCTTTAAATGGCTTAGTTACGATTCGTGCATTCAAAGTTGAAGATGATTTTCTTCAATCATTGACAAATAAAATAGATGCTAACACACGTTCATACATAATTTTAATAGCTACTAACATTTGGCTTGGCTTTTATCTTGATCTTATGGCAACATTCTTTTCATTTGTTACTGCTATTCTTGCTATCATTCTACGTGATCAATTGAATCCAGCATATGTTGCTCTTAGTTTATCATATAGTATTAATATGACTGTATTATTTCAATGGGGTATACGACAATTACTTGAAAGTGAAACCTTGATGACAAGTGCCGAACGTATCAATGAATATGCAAGATTACCACCTGAAGAAGATGAAAGTGGTCAAAAGCGACTTATAAAAACATTACCAGATTGGCCAACTAGTGGAATAATAGAATTTCGAAATTATTCATTTCGTTATACATCTGATCTTAAATCAGCACTCAAAAATATCAATTTAAATATTGCATCGAACGAAAAAATTGGTATTATTGGCCGTACAGGTAATCATTTTCTCTTAGAAAAACTTGTTCAAACGAAATATTAACTGGTTAATTAAAATTATTCAATATTATTTTATGATTATTTTCAGGTTCAGGTAAATCATCACTTTTTCAAGCTCTCTTTCGTTTTATTAATCGTTCAATGACTGATGGCGAAATTCTTATTGATCATGTCGATATTAGTCGTATTACATTAAAACATCTTCGTTCACATCTTAGTGTCATTCCACAACAGCCATTTCTATTCAGTGGAACGCTTCGATATAATTTAGATCCATTAAATCAATATTCGGATGAAGAATGTTGGATGGCACTCAAAGCTGTACAACTCGATCAATCAATTTTCAATCAACAATCAAGTCTTCTGTTATATCCTATAGCTGAATCAGGCAGTAATCTTAGTGTTGGTCAATGTCAATTGATCTGTGTTGCTCGAGCTATTCTTAAGAAAAGTAAAATTTTATTAATTGATGAAGCAACAGCTAATGTTGACAAAGAAACAGATGCATTGGTGCAAAAAGTTATTCAGGAAAAATTTCGTGATCGAACTATTTTAACTATTGCACATCGAATCAATACAGTAGCATCAAGCGATCGTCTTATCGTCATGAATAAAGGCAGAATTATTAATATCAATACATGCAATGATATTTTATCTCGTCCCTAATCTTTTTTATAAATAATTGAAGTTTATTTCATAGAGTTTATAAAAAAATTTGATGAAAATAAATAAACAAAATAAATAGCTCTGTTAAAAAGAGTTGATATACCATTTGATATGGGTTGATTACAACATATTTGATCAGGATTTGTTGATAATGTTTCATTTAAAAACGATCTATAAATATTTCTATAAAATAATGTTTGTGGACCACGAAAACTTTCAAAAAATAAATCATGACGAAATGAATCAAATTCATAATCTAATATAAGTATTGGTGAACGAAATATATTCCAAATAACATTTTCAGTACAAGGTGGAATTGTTAATGATCCGAAATACCTCCAGTAATCATTTAAATTATTACCCATTAATGAAGCTAATGTTAAGTTAATTCTTCTTGAATCATTTTCTCTTCTTAATCTTTGTGCAACATCAAAATATTTCATCCATTTAGTTTCATCTGTTGCATTAAAGAAACTATGTTTACTATTTAATGATATATCTTCATCCATTTGAGTTTGCATAAGAAAACTTAAAACAACTGTTTCATCTGTTAATGGATTTTTATAAACAAAATGACTTTCACCACTAAATTTATTACCATTACTAAAATATAAAATTTATTTAATCAGACATGTGCCGCAGAGAAAAAATTATAGTATTATATAAAACTTACATTTGATGTTCACTACCAGTATTATGATTTGGTCCCCAATGTAAATGCAAGTTACTAAAGTAAAATGTTCCATTTAAATTACCACCTTGAATAGCTAATTTTGTGTTATTTGATTCTACAGTTATAGTATGACCATTGTTTTGTATTAAAAAATGATTTTCTTCAATATGTTCAGGTGTAAAAATAAATGGATCAAAAGATTTATAAACTGTACATGCTGTTTTTATATTTATTGGTGATTGACGTTCTCCATTACATGATGAAAATGTTTCGCCCCAAACATCAGGCCCATGAGCACTGTAATCCCATTCATTCGTTAAACATTTATTTATTAATATAAAAATAAATATAATTAAATAATAATTCAACATTATTTTATAATTAATCTGAATAGAAACAAATATATTTGACAAAAAGACATAATGAATATGAACTTCACACATAAACTTCAAATTACTGATATGGGATGAGTTCTAAACTTGAAATGTATATTGTGTGGAGCTCACCTTGTTTTGACTAAACTAAATGATCGTGCCTTTTCAACAAGTAATAATATTTCATTGAACTTTATCATAAATGAATATTTAAAAAGAGTTACACTATCATCTTGTTGCTCTTTCTGTGTTTGTCTTTTTTCTCTTCTCTAGTTGTTATAAAGTGAGAGATACGATTGTATGAATTAATAGTATCGATTATGAAGTGAAAAGAATGTTATAATCCCCTCAATGTGTTTTTTATATTCTAAATCCATTGAATATGCTTATAAATCGAATGTTAAAAAGAATAAGTTCATGTATGCATATTCCTTTGCCGATGTGATATATTCTAGAGTTGAAAAAAAAATAGAGATATATGCATTAGCATTTGTTTTCTTATTGAAAAGAGTAGAAATTGATATCGTATCGTAAAAGACGTTCTGTATGAAATCCCTTCCTTACACATCATTTAAACTTGAAAATACGTCCTCATGTCAGGGACAACAACAATAACAAGTAATAGATAAAGATCAAGTAATTATATGGGTCACTTTTAATCTCACATTCTTTGTATGATTTATCTTTCGTCGTGCAGATAAATCTATTGTCAAATACAAAGCAGAATTATGAAGACTCTTCGGATAAGATATTATAGAGCAATAAGGACATCAACGACCATGAAGTCGCTGTTGTATGTGATAAAACTGTAGATAATATTGAAAAAAAGAACAAGATATAAATCCTTATCAGATCTTATTTAATTTATAAATAAAAACTTCACTATCCTTCTTATTTCATATTGACAGCATTATATATGATAAAAGGTTATTAATATATTTTTACGACGATTTTGAGTCTGACAGATACATATAGCATTGCCACTATCAATTTTACTATCTTTATTCAAAAAATTAGTAGTATGCGAACATATTTTCAATAGTACACCTATGAAACGAATCATGTCTGATTCGTAATTATACTATGTATAACAGTAACATCATAAGCTGATGTATAATAATTCTATACACACTAACACTCGAGTGCATAAACACTCGTTTATCATTTCATTCCTATTAAATAAGAATGAAGTAATGGAAAGATTAATATTACATATCAGGGTAAACAAAGAAAATCCTCTTTAGCATTACTATGATATGTTAATATTATATTCTTTCTTCGTCATAAAGTAAATCTATACATATTGCACTCACAAAAATATGATTTTTTTAAAAATTGAATTATAACTTCTGACTTTTTTCTATTGAATATAATTTGATATTTGATTTATTTGGGTATGTGGTTACAAAAAAAAAGTTGTTCATCTAAAACGAAGTTCTGCTATCAATTAATTATTCTAATTCGAAGAATATATAATTTAATTAGTAGTTTATTTCTCTGTAGGGAATAATATATGCTCTTCCTATTTGTACTTTGAAGCAAATAAAACAAAGGTATTTCTAGTGTTAACTCTTTTCACTTAGAATTCATCGATGACAGAATACATCGATTGTTATTTATATCATAACATAGGCATTATAATGATATCTGTTACATCTATGGGAACGAGAGAGAATCCAACATTTCTCTTCTAATACTTTAATTAGTAAAAAAATCATTATTTTTGAGTACTACTTGTTGTTTTGCGTAGTAGATCTAATATTTCAGATTCATATAGAATATTAGTAGGCTGGACTTTTATTTCTGTTTTTTGCACTTTGTAATGAATAGTACAAAAGAAAATGAGAAATTCTATTACAACTTACTCTTCTGACAGTTAAGACTAGGATTTATTTATAGTTGACAGACGAAACACCGTTGACGAACAACGTCATAGTAGGAGAGTAAATACAAGAGTAGTTTTTCAAAGATATATATAAGTATCTGGTTATTTTATTTATAAAAACGACAAGATTTGCCCTTAATTTTCAATCATAATTCAAATCAAAATCAATTTCTTACTAATCAGTTTCAAGAATGTAAGTAACTGAAGATAATTCTCTTTATATCATTCTCAAGTTGTAAATTATTCTCAGTGTCTTCAATAGAATTGCACTATAGAATGAATTAATAGTGTCTATGTCACTAGTTTCATGTAAATTTTGTATATCAACGTTTATACTATACATTTAGAAGCGCGACGCTTTCTTCTCCTTTCTGTGATTGCACCGTGTGCCGTTGCCCTATGTATATTATTCGTCAGGCGAACTTGAGATTTATATAAAATTAAAGTGACTTTGAAAGACTTTTAATTTGAATATACTTTAGAAATTTACTTGATAAGTATTTCTCTTATCCAAAATGACCGTCATTAGTTGTCATATTGTATTGATGTGAGATCTTTCTGAAGTACTGTTCGTCTCTCTTTTTGTTTCTTCATATGTGACTATCTCCAGATTAGTTGAATTGAATGAAGAGAAGAAAGTTTTGATTTCATAAGATGAGATTATATTAAAAGATTATCGGCACTGAGTCCTAGAGTTCATCAGGAACAATAGGATTTGAAGAGTATTCATGTGAAGATATGCTCAATTAATAATAATATCTTATTATCTATTTACTTCATATTATTGATCGTATTTGTTGTAGAATTATTTAAAAATCTGTGCATAAAAAGACATTGAATACGAAATGATGTTGCGTGACTTCCATAGAGTATACATGGGTGAGAAATGAAAATAGCAGGTGCAATTGATTAAAATAATAAGTGTTTGTCCAGGGTATATATATAAAATACTTTATTAGAGAGGATCGATCTTATTTGGCCTTGATCATTTACTTTTGAAAAAATTTCTAGAACATGTTGGAAAATACACATAAAAACAGAGGTAAATATATTGTGAGTCAGACTATAGTTATATTAGATCCTTCTGCGTATTAGAAGAATTTTATAGTATTAAATTTCATTTTAGAGCAGTCAAGTCTTGAAAAAAGTCTCTGAATCTTTTTATTTTTTTTGCATGAAAAGAATTTTGATCTATAAAAGTTAACTTCTTTGACTATCCGATGATGATAAAAATATAGAATAGATAAACCAAATTTGAGAACGACAGTTGAACACGAACAAGTCAAATAAAATTGCACTTGAATTGTTTTCTAGAAAATTCATATGAGAAGATCTTCGTGAAAAGTTTATACGCAAAAGCATAATAGAAGAATTTGAGTCTTGTAACAGATGGGAAGGAATGAGAAGTTATAAGAGAAAGAACGACATACACCAAGGTGACAAGGAGAGAACGATACTTGGCGTTGTATTAGTTTGAAATTGATAATTTGTTGACACAGAGGACAAAAATCATGTTGTGAATCGGAAAAACCGATAAAATGATAATTAAATCGATCAGATGAGCACGCAGAAGAGAATCTTTTCTAATTTACTTTTTTTTCTTCAGAGATAACATGGGTAATAGTTCATCAGTAAATTTTCCTTTATTGAACCAAACAATTAATCGTTATGTTCCAATTCCTCTTCTTTTCTTTGGTGTAATTGGCAATATTTTAAATATGTTTGTCTTTACTCGTCATACCTTTCGTAATAATATATGTGTTATTTATTTTTTGGCATCAACTGTAGCGGATTCATTTTCTCTTGGTATTGGCCTTCTTACACGTCTTCTTACTGGATTTAATGTTGATCCAACACAATTTTCAAGCGGATTTTGTAAAATGAGATTTTTTATAACATATTATTCTGCATATAGTGGTGCCTGGTTTATAAGTTTAGCTTGTATTGAACGATATCTTTGTTCATCAGCAAATGTTAACAAACGTCAATTTGTAACAACTAAACGTGCGTATATTTCTATTATTATCATTCTAATAACGGGATTTGTAGCATTTGGTGAACAATTTTATTGTATTAATATAAATCAACAATTATTAGGAGCACCACAATCATGTTATCAATTAAAACGAAATATTGCATGTCAAATTGCCGATAGTTTAATGCAATTTCTATTGGAGATTCTAATACCAGCTATATTGATGACTATCTTTGGCTCATTAGTTATACGAAATGTTCGTCGAAAATGTTGTCGAATTAACCCAATAAGACAGGAAAATATATGCACTCCTGCAGTACCATTATCAGCGACAAGTTCACTCAATGCACAACAACAGCAACCACCACTAGTAAAGATCAGAACTCTTTCAAATACTGAATCATTGCTGCTAAAGATGCAACGAAGAGCTCAAAAGCGCGATGGCCAATTACTTGTATTATTAGTTATTCAAGTAAATCAAAAAGAGACATATACCTTTCTAATGATTCATTTTCTTTTTTTTTATATAGGTTGCAGCTTTCATTATTTGTTCATGGCCTGTTAATATGTATAAATTCTATTCTGTGGCAACAGTTTATAATACAAAATCTAATTTTCGTCAAGCAATTGAAAATACAGCTTTCAATGTCGCTGTACAAGCTTACTTTCTTAATAATGCAATTAAGTTTTACATCTACACATTATGTGGTCCTATATTTCGAAAGGAATTGGCGAAATTATTTCGATTACATTAACATTGTCTTTTTATTCATATATTCCTTCTAATTGTTGTAAGTTTTATCTATTTTGTGGTTTTTATGTATCGCGCATACTTATATTCATTTCGATGTCGAAGAGTTATGTGTATTTTTTGAATAATTTTTAATAGAAGCAAGGTAGAGAGTATCGGTTTTCACTGTTGAAAAAGATTGAAATGTATTTTTTATTTTATTAGTTTAGATGTGATAGGTAATTGACAGTGATCATCTACTTGCTTTTTTCCTTAAAAGATCATTTTTTTTGTCTTTCTATTTTGAGAAAAAAACTTATTCTCTTGTATTTTTTTGGAAAATATACAATACATAAATCAATATCTTTTGGTTTTCTCTTTCTATAACGGTGCAACTCGCAGCTCTATATCTTATTTCTATCATAAAATACTCTGGACTTTTCTTTTGTCGAATGAACATTAGTGTATAACTTAGTATCTAAAAATATATTTCACTGTGGTGTTAGCCATCTTTGTATTAAACAATTTTTGGGTATTTAATGAAAATAAAATGCTTATATAAAATAAATTCTCATGTATCCTATCAAATTCAATGAAAGACTTATGTTATTTTTGTAGAGATTTTGTGGTCGCATTAACACTGATATAAATAGATCTAAATTTGAGATATATACCATTAAAACAAATTATCATTCGAAGAATTTTTGTATATCTTTTTATGGTTAATATGATTTTCTTTTTAAATATTTTCATTCGTATAAAAAAATACTCAAAACAAATCGTAATATTATCCTACAGGTTTCATGTCCTTGGCATTCCATGTAATAAAGTGTTCAATACAAGTCTATACGATTTCTTCATTGATATGAAAGTTCATCAAGTAAACAGTAAGTTAGCAAATGTCTTTCGTTAAGAAAGGGTTAGTTTATAGAGAATGATATTTTGCATTGAATACAGAGCTTCTTTTGATTTTATTTAGGAGGGGAAAGAAATCAAGGAGAAAGTCACCCTAGAACAGGGAGAAAATCTTAAGATCGGAGATAAATGACCTACAGATCATATAAAATTTTCACTTGTCAAGAAAACGACTAATTCTACATGAAAACTATAGTAAAAGCCTTTTTCTACACTCACAACAATTAATTTTTGTCAAATCTTCAAAATTACTCTCTCTCTCTCTCTTTTGAAGAAACTGTACGTTTCGCCTTATAAATTTAGAAGTAAATTTTTTCTTTTGCATAAATCCTTTAAAATAGTATTATAAAGAGTACCAAAAAGTAGTTAATAAAAATTTTTATGGAGAAAGCTATAAGAGAAGAAAAAATTTAACGGGGGGAAATACCCTCCCTAATCGTATAGGCTGATTGAGTAGGATATGTTATGAGATTTCTTCCCAAAAAAAACTGCAAATGCTGTTTTGGACAAGTCTGGAATTTACTTTGTTACATAAAAATATCACTTTTTTTTGCAAAATAAATGTCAAATTCGTTTGGTTATATGTGGAAGGTGTAGTAAATTCATATGTAAATTAAATCGCGAATATGTTCTGCGGTCAGTAAAATAACTGAAATATCAGTAAATACATTAATTGGTCAGTTTCCAAAAAAA